TATTTATTTGAGAGAGAGAATGAGAGAGAGCACATGAGAGGGGGGAGGGTCAGAGGGAGAAGCAGACTCCCTGCCGAGCAGGGAGCCCGGTGCGGGACTCGATCCCGGGACTCCAGGATCATGACCTGAGCCGAAGGCAGTCGCTTAACCAACTGAGCCACCCAGGCGCCCCTAAATTCCTTATTTCTAAATAACCAAAAATATATGCTTATTGATGTGCTCCTTATTTTCTAGAATGTTTATATTTTGAAGAGAAGGCAAAAAGTTAATTTGTTAAATGTTAATTTTCTTCAATCTTTTTTATTTTAAATGTAACAGACTTTAAAATGTCCCTTTTCTCATGTTTCATTTTTATGGTAATGTCTGTAGTTGAACTTCAAATAAATATAATTTATATTTAAATTTGCCATTTTAAACACTGTATCACTAAAAATACTGGCTTAGATACTCTGACCTTTTTTTTTTTTTTTTAGTTACTCCAGAGGATTCACAGAACATAGGATGTCACCACAAAATCTACCTCGTGTGTTACTCTCTTTAACTCATGAGCTGCACAACAATTGCAAATTTGAGCAAGACGGCTGTAGACCGTGTTGAAGAACGGAAGAACCTAATTAACACAGGATGACCTAGGAGTGATTCTAAGCATATAACAAGATACTATTCATTAGCGAATGTGTCAGTCTTGATTCTGAATGCTGCAGATAACAGCACGCAGAGTTTCTCCTTTTTTTATTTCTGAAGCATTCACTTGACCTTCCATCAGTAAGACTGACTTTTCCAATCTGTTCTGGGAGATATTAATGGAATACAGTCATGTCCACTCCAGACGAGAGGCAGATCAATACTGAATATGCTGTGTCCTTGTTGGAACAGTTAAAACTGTTTTATGAACAGCAGTTGTTTACTGACATAGTGTTAATTGTTGAGGGCACTGAATTCCCTTGTCATAAGATGGTTCTTGCAACATGTAGCTCTTATTTTAGGTAAGTACTTTAATCTTGCTTGATTTGTAATTTCAAATGCAGAATGTTAGCTTATTTTTTTTAAGATTTTATTTGACAGAGAGCGAGAGCAGGAACACAAGCAGGGGGAGTGGGAGAGGGAGAAGCAGGCTTCCCGCCGAGCAGGGAGCCCACTGTGGGGCTCAGTCCCAGGACCCTGGGACCATGACCTGAGCCAAAGGCAGACGCCACCGAGGCGCTTCTCTGTTTTAATGTCTTAATAGGAATTCTTTTGAACATTTTTTTTTTTTTTAAGATTTTATTTATTTATTTGACAGAGAGACAGCGAGAGAGGGAACACAAGCAGGGGGAGTGGGAGAGGGAGAAGCAGGCTTCCCGCCGAGCAGGGAGCCCAATGCGGGGCTCCATCCCAGGACCCTGGGATCGTGACCTGAGCCGAAGGCAGACGCTTAACGACTGAGCCACCCAGGCGCCCCCTTTGGAACATTTAAGTTAAAAAAAATAGATGTCTTAATGTTTTCCTTAACTTTTCTATTCCAGTGGTGTAGTGCTTGCCACATCACTTCCTTGCATGTAAAGGACAGGTGAAAGACGTTTTTACAAAGGTTTATAAGAAATTTGTTGAAATTAACTCAGGTAAAGTTTTAATTATGCGGAGGCAAAAAGATTAAAAGAGAAAATAATTTTTATTTACCGTTTATTTTAAAATACTACATTTAGAAAAGTAGTCATTGTTGACAGATGGAATTAGACTCAATAATAACTTTCAGAGGATCATGATTGCTATTCAGACATTTTTTTTTTTTAAGATTTATTTATTTGAGAGAGCGAGAATGAGAGAGAGAGAGAGAGAGTACATGAGAGCAGGGAGGGTTAGAGGGAGAAGCAGGCTCCTCGCCGAGCAGGGAGCCCGATGGGGGACTCGATCCCGGGACTCCAGGATCATGACCTGAGCAGAAGGCAGTCGCTTAACCAACTGAGCCACCCAGGCGCCCACTATTCAGACATGTTAAGGACTTTATTTCCTTTGCAAAAATGTTTTTCTCATTCTTGGTTATTGTTATCATTTATACCTTTTAGCCTTATCAGACTCCTTGCCAGATTTCATTATTTAGTAATTAATAACATTGTTCTCTGTGCCTTAGAATTTAGAAGCTGACTTATTTGTAATAACAAATAAAGTGTAACTTTACATTTTTATGATCTGCAACTTTCAATCTTTTTAGGTAGGTTTCTCTTTATTCGTTTCATAAGAGGAATAGAAGCAAAGCATAGAAATTCTTTTATTTGTGGTCTGCCCTTAGGTTGAATTTTTACTTAATATCTGAAAAGGACGGGGTGAATAAAGATGAGTTAAATGTGGATCAGTATAATCCTACCACAAATATTAGTGGCCGTAAGTGGACATCAGCAGTGAAAGTTAATTTCTGCTGTTCTTTAGTGACAACTATAGACAGGACAGGTTTAATGTTGACTTTTTAAGGTTAACATACATGAAGGTTGTAGAAATGTTGCATTTCTTAATGTAACACATCTCGTGATGATTGTAGCAGCTGAGGCCCAAATACTAATTATCTTTGCTATGCCTGCAATTGTTTCAGGTTAAGCTGTGGATTTTTCATGCAATTTCAGACATTGATTTTCTTAGAAAGCTTAGCATATTTGCAAACAGTGGTTCTAAAACTTGGTTGATCATCAGACTCCTCAAGTGCTTCCACAGAGATTCTTGGATTTCAAACCTAGAAATTCTGATTCAGTGGGTCTGGGTTAGAGTTTCAGAATTTTTATGTTTAAGAGCTTCCCAAATGATTGTGATGGTCAGTTTCTTTTTCACAGCTATTAGAAATTGGAGGTTATAGATTGAGTCAATACCTAGGCTTACTAGTTCTCCCCTTTTAAAGATTTTTATTTATTAGAGCACGCGTGTGCGTGAGCATGAAGCGGGGAGGGGCAAAGAGAATGTCCAGCAGACTCCCTGCTGAGCGCAGAGCCCAGTATGGGGGCTCAATCCCAGGATCATGATCTGAGCAAAAATCAAGAAAGATTCATCAGAGAAGTAAGAAGCAACAGTCCAGTACCATGCTACTTAGGACAAGAGAGGTGGGGTGTCAAAAACTGTGGAATCAAGGGTAACAAACGCCACAAAAGCAATTAGGTAGCAATTAGGTAGTCACTGGTGTAGCTCAGAAGGAGGAATAAGGACAACTTTCTCTTATTCTTTTTTCTTTTTTTTCCTAATTGAACTTTGCCTCAGGTTGGTCATTGGGATTCTAGGTGCATTTGAGTTTTTTAGTCCCCCTCAGATAACTTACTCAGCTTTAACACGTCACTTTGTAAATAATTCATAGCCTACTGTATTAACACTTGACCTTCTCTAGAGTTTCAGTAATATTAAATACTTAATTGATTATTGTATTATTTTTTTGTCTTAAATATATCCAAAATTTAACTCCCCCTTTTTCCAGGATTAACTTGACCTTGCAGTTCCTTGACCTTACTTTCTCTCAATGACTAGCAGTATTTTTTCAGGCACTTAACTTGAAAATAAACAATGTGACTTTATTTTCCTATCTACTCTCTTCCATTTCCTATGTTCAGAAAATCACCAGATCTTGATTCATTGTGATAGCTTTTGTATCCATTTCTGCCGCCCTGGGGCAGGTTGTTGTTATTCCTGCTGTAGATTATTGCAGTAGACTCATAGTCTGTTTCCCCATCTCCAGCCTTTGGCCCTTGAGGTCTGTCAGTAGAGTGGTCATCCTAGAATACATGTTATCATGCTGATAAATCCATACACAAACCCTTCAGTGTTCTGCACCATAAGAAAAAGCTCAGACTCCTAGGTCTCTTTCAAAGCCTCTGTGATCTGACTGCCACTCACCTTTCCAGTCTCCTGTGTGAGCCCTTATGCCCTGGAAAAAATGGTCATGTTCTGCCCTGATTCCTTAGTTGATCCCTGTTGATGGCTTTCCTCATCTTGTCCCATAGGGGCCTAAGCTAGTGCTGTTGTGATACCCACTTTTGATCCCATACAGATCTTTCTCTTGTATGCATGCAGTCATTATTCTTTGCATTGTTTTTTTTTTGTCTCTCACCTGTACATGGGTGTTCTACTTTGTATTCTGTACACCACCAGTTGCCGCCTTTGGCATATAATAGACTTTTAGGAAACTACCCTGTATAGTTTTAGGAAATCATTTGAGCGAATGACATTTTTATTTTTTATTTTTTATTTTTTCAAGATTTTATTTATTTGACAGAGAGAGACACAGTGAGAGAGGGAACAGAAGCAGGGGGAGTGGGAGAGGGAGAAGCAGGCTTCCCGCGGAGCAGGGAGCCCGATGTGGGGCTCGATCCCAGGACCCTGGGATCATGACCTGAACCGAAGGCAGACGCTTAACGACTGAGCCACCCAGGCGCCCGCGAATGACATTTTTAATACCTTTATTGAGTTATAATTTACATATCACAAAATCCACCCATCTTAAATGTATAATTAAGTGAATTTTAGTATATTTACAGAGATGCATAACCATCTCTACCATCTAATTTGAAACATTTCACTCACCTTTGTGCCCTTTTACAGACACTCACCATTACCCACAGTCCTGGGTAGCTTCTAATCTCTCTTCTGTCTCTATATTTGTTTTTTGGGGGGCACATTTCATACAGATGGAAACCTACAATAGGTGGTCTTTGTTTCTGGCTTCTTTCACGGAGCGTGTTTTGGAGGTTCATCTGTGTTGTAGAACGCATCATTACTTAGTTCCTTTTTATTGCTGAATAGTATTCTATTGTATGAATATAAAGAGTAATGAATTTTCATGTTTTCACTCAGAATGGCATAATGGAATAGTTTGGTATATCTTTGGCACTGAATTATGCTTTTTTGTTGTCTCCCTCAAAAGCTTTCCCTATAACATGTTCTTCAGCAAATCCTCTAAATAAACATCCATGTTGTCTAGTTTTCCTTCTTACGTCTACGTTGGTTTTACACTAAACGCATAAGCTTTGTTTTTTCTCTCTCTCTGGTAGGGCCATGTTCATGAGTGGACTCAGTGAAAGCAAACAGACACACGTGCACCTGAGGAATGTGGATGCAGCCACCTTACAGATAATAATAGCTTACGCATACACGGGTAACTTGGCAATAAATGACAGCACTGTAGAACAGCTTTATGAAACCGCTTGCTTCCTGCAGGTAAGCAGCTTTTCCTATTATATACATAAACTGTGGTTTATTGTTTCAAGAGACATGGTTTCATCAGTGTTGTCTTACATCTATATACTTTTCTTATTGCAAAATTTAGAAGGTAAGTTTTCTTAAAATGTACAGGGGAGGGCGCCTGGCTGGCTCAGTTGGAAGCACGGGCAGCTCTTGATGTTGGGGTCCTGGGTTCAGGCCCCATGTTGGTGTAAAGATTCCTTAAATAATTAAATTTAAAAATGTATAAGGAAAAAACAGGATTTGATCAGTCAGTAAACTACTTTAGCTTTACGATGGGAACTTAATTAAAAGATGGGTGAAAATTTCATACTGGTTTCATATTCTAATATACTTGAGAATTTGGATTTCAAGTAAAAGTAATTTTTAAGTGTTAATTAAATTTAAGTGCTTCAGTTTTTTTTTTTTTGCTAGAGCCTGAGATACATTAATATTTGATGGTATTAGTTTTCACAAAAAATTTGAAGATTCTTATGGAAATTATCAAACTTTAACTATAATAGCCATGTGACCATATTGAGCTACTAATTTTTTTTTTTTTTTAAGATTTTATTTATTTATTTGACAGAGACAGAGACAGCAAGAGCAGGAACACAAGCAGGGGGAGTGGGAGAGGGAGAAGCAGGCTTCCTGCTGAGCCGGGAGCCCGATGTGGGACTCGATCCCAGGACCCTGGGATCATGACCTGAGCCAAAGGCAGTCGCTTAACCTACTGAGCCACCCAGGCGCCCTTGAGCTACTAATATTAAGGAGAACTATTTAAACTAAAAAAGTGATCACTGATCCATTTACAGATAAACTTTTTTACTCTATTTTCCCCTCACCATTTAAAAAAATTTTTAAGAGGAATATAAAAAATATTTTCGTCATTCCTTTCTCTTGTTTTGAAATAACAGTGTGTATTTCAGAAACAAAATTTCTCTGAGGGGAGAACCTTGAGACTAAAGGTTATATTTGGGGAGAACAGGTCATGATACCTAGTTAGGTGCTTCATAAATGTGTGCTGCATTGAGTATGAATGACACTGATTGCCAACACCTGGGTGAAATTCTGGGAATCAGAACTCAGTTCATGCTTTATATAGCTTTCTTCCTTTTATTCTGTACTCTCTTCTTCCCTATAAAATTATACAGTGTCCTACTGTACCTACAACTATGGGGAAATTGAGGGCCATAGTAGCTTCCTGGTGCTTTAGAATTAAAGGCATTCATAACTTAAATCCAAACGTGAAAGGAGGAAATGCCTACAGTATGCACTGTCTTTCCGTAGTTTAAGTTTTCAGTATGTTTTTTAGAGCCAGAAACTCAAAGCAGGTATTTTTTAGAATTGCTTAAAAAATTGAGGAATTTTAAGAAATTTGGATTCCAGAGTACTTTATTCCTGTAAATAGTGATACTGTTCCTTTGAACTCTTTTCCTACCATGTTAATGAACTCTGTATGCATATACATAACAAATGCAAAACAGGACTCTCTTGGACTGGGCTGTCCTGACAAGCCTGGGATGACAAGCCAGGCTTTTTGTGACTACCAACATAATTTTCCGTATTAACCACTGAAAATGATAAATGTTTTTATATGCCTGATACTATTCTCATATATTATTTAGGTTAGGTGTAATACTTTATATCTACAGATATATAGATATCATCTAATTCTTATTATAATCCTTGGTAAGGATCTCCCCATTGTATACAAGAGAAAGCTGAGGCTTAGAGAAGTGAAGCTGCCTAAGGCTGTCTACTTACTGACCATCCAGTCTAAGCACCCTGACTTCTCAACTGTAAACTGCTTCTAGTTAGCTTGCTGTGGTGTTGAATAAGTAGAGTAGGGAGCACTTCTGATTTCAGCTGAGATCTACTTTTCCTTCGTAAGAAAAAAATCTAGGAAACAGAATGGCTAAGGTGGGTCATTTAAATGTAGGTAATTTATAACTGCATTATAAATGTATTCCTTTGGTGACATTATTTCTCTAGATAAGAAAGGCACATAAGTAGTCATTGTACCTGGTTTTGTTTTATAGTACTATCTTGTCGATGTTGAGAAACCAGATTCTGGCTACTCAACAGTAATCATTTATGATAAATTTATAATGATGGGGGCACCTGGGTGGCTCAGTCTAAGCGTCTGCTATCGGGCTCCCTGCTCGGTGGGAAGCATGCTTCTCCCACTCCCCCTGCTTGTATTCCCTCTCTCGCTGTGTCTCTGTCAAATAAAATCTTAAAAAAAAAAAAAAAGATAAATGGTAATCATTTATGTACTGTGATTTACACTGTTTCCATTTTTTTTCAATTACATATATATATATTTTTTTAAGATTTTATTTATTTATTTGAGAGAGAGAATGAGAGACAGCACAAGAGGGAAGAGGGTCAGAGGGAGAAGCAGGCCCCCCGCTGAGCAGGGAGCCCGATGCGGGACTCGATGCCGGGACTCCAGGATCATGACCTGAGCCGAAGGCAGTCACTCAACCAACTGAGCCACCCAGGCGCCCACATATTTTTTAATGCCTAGAAAAGTATAGAACTTATGCATAAATTTCTATACTTTTCCTTTAAGACCATTTATTTTTAAGAGCCTATTTAATGTTACACTATTAGTTCCTAAATAGGGCACTTAAGGAGGCCACTGGACAAGTAGTAGATATGCAGAACTATGCATAGTCTTCTATTACTGGAAGGCATTATCTCTTTGCCCAAGCATACATATCTAAAAATAGAAACTATAGGGGGATCTGATTAATAATACTTGTATTTTACATAAAAGTAAAATTTGTCTTTATCAACCTTTCCCCATTTTAGGTAGAAGATGTATTACAACGTTGTCGAGAATACTTAATTAAAAAAATAAATGCAGAGAACTGTGTGCGATTGTTGAGTTTTGCCGATCTGTTCAGTTGTGAGGAATTAAAGCAAAGTGCTAAAAGAATGGTAGAGCACAAGTTCACTGCTGTGTATCACCAGGAAGCTTTCATGCAGCTGTCACATGACCTACTGATAGACATCCTCAGTAGTGACAATTTAAATGTTGAAAAGGAGGAGACGGTTCGAGAAGCTGCTATGCTGTGGCTAGAGTACAACACGGAATCACGATCCCAGTATTTGTCTTCAGTTCTTAGCCAAATCCGAATTGATGCACTTTCCGAAGTAACACAGAGAGCTTGGTTTCAAGGCCTGCCGCCCAATGACAAGTCTGTCGTGGTTCAAGGTCTGTATAAGTCTATGCCCAAGTTTTTCAAACCAAGACTTGGAATGACTAAAGAGGAGATGATGATTTTCATTGAAGCATCTTCAGAAAATCCTTGTAGTCTTTACTCTTCTGTCTGTTACAGCCCCCAAGCAGAAAAAGTTTACAAGCTGTGCAGCCCACCAGCTGATTTGCATAAGGTTGGGACTGTTGTAACTCCCGATAATGACATCTATATAGCAGGGGGTCAGGTTCCTCTGAAAAACACAAAAACAAATCACAGTAAAACAAGCAAACTTCAGACTGCCTTCAGAACTGTGAACTGCTTTTACTGGTTTGATGCCCAGCAAAATACCTGGTTTCCAAAGACCCCGATGCTTTTTGTCCGCATAAAGCCATCCTTGGTTTGCTGTGAAGGCTATATCTATGCAATTGGGGGCGACAGTGTAGGTGGAGAACTTAATCGGAGGACCGTGGAAAGATACGACACGGAGAAGGATGAGTGGACAATGGTAAGCCCTCTGCCTTGTGCTTGGCAGTGGAGCGCGGCAGTCGTGGTTCACGACTGCATTTATGTGATGACACTGAACCTCATGTACTGTTACTTTCCCAGGTCTGATTCATGGGTAGAAATGGCCATGAGACAGACCAGCAGGTCTTTTGCTTCGGCTGCGGCTTTCGGTGATAAAATCTTCTATATTGGAGGGTTGCACATTGCTACCAATTCTGGCATAAGACTCCCCTCTGGCACTGTAGACGGGTCTTCGGTAACTGTGGAGATTTACGATGTGAATAAAAATGAGTGGAAAATGGCAGCCAACATCCCTGCCAAGAGGTACTCAGACCCCTGTGTTAGAGCTGTTGTGATCTCAAATTCTCTGTGTGTGTTTATGCGAGAAACCCACTTAAACGAGAGAGCGAAATATGTCACCTACCAGTATGATCTGGAACTTGACCGGTGGTCTCTGCGGCAGCATATATCCGAACGTGTACTGTGGGACTTAGGCAGAGATTTTCGGTGCACTGTGGGGAAACTTTATCCATCCTGCCTTGAAGAGTCTCCATGGAAGCCACCAACTTACCTTTTTTCACCGGATGGGACCGAGGAGTTTGAACTGGATGGAGAGATGGTCGCCCTACCACCTGTATAGTCGACGACTTGGGGGGTGCACACCTGGTTTATGTGCTTGGTCATTTTCTTTGCTAAACAAGAGAGGCTATGAGAGGACTAAATATGAGTACATAAAAATCTATCTTTGATAAATTTTATTTTTATGCCCTACTTAATATTTGCATCAGTATAATATATATCAGTGAGTCTTACAGAAAGATATGCTTCCATAATATGAAATAGATTATCCAATAATTGAGAAACTTTTACGTGTATCATGAGAGCATAAGAATCTGGATTATCTAATAACATTGTTAGCCCTGTGTTATGTACAGTTCAAAAAGTTCACTTATTAAAAGTAGTTTCCTGTTCCTAGTGTGGTATATCGCAAATTGTGCCGAGATTATTTTAGTATACGTATTTCATTCCCGTGCTTCTGTTCCGAAGTCCTGGAATATGGTTTTTTTCAGTGTAACTAATTCAGCTGCACTTAACACTAGTGTCCATGTTGGTATAGAAATGTTGTCAAAAATCCTATACTATAGTTGAGGAAGATCTTCCATTTTATGGTATTGCACAGGGAAAGCTATGACTGCAGGATCAGTCTAACTATACTATTAGGTGCATGTATTCTCTCTTCACTAACTTATACTTGTCTATCTAGAATACAGGTCTTCCAATCAGCTGGTCATTTACCAGGTGTGGACTTCAGTTGCTGGGCTTGCAATAAGAATTGCCGGTCCCTCGTTGTGCGGGTCTGTGTGGAGCTTTAATCCGTAAATGCCTCCACTTTCTGTATTACATTAACATTGGCTCATGCATATAACTACCTGCTGCTGTTGTATTTCTCCATCGTAAAGATTTAGAGTGGGTTAACCAGGTCATTACATCTTAATTTAATAACAAGCATTACTGTAGAGTGATTGTGTATAGATCTCCATTAGCTGTCAGGGTGTGTTTTTTTCAGTTTTGTTTTTCTCACCTGTTGTGTGCGTGGGGGGGTAGGAGTAGGAAGGTGAACTGTTCAGGAATTCTCTGCACTAGCCGAGCACGCGAGCAGACCATTAGGGCTGCTCTGGCATCAATCCCAGGAACCACTAGCAGTAGCGGGGCGCTGCCCATCAACAGGAGCACAGGTGCTTCATGACCAACATTACTAGCATGTTCAACTGCATAATGTTCTGGCACTGTATTTTGAATGACATTAATTTATTAAATAAATTGTATACATTCAGTATCTGTTTTCTTTTGGGATGGGATGCTGTAATGGTGTGCTTTTTTAGTTTTACTGGGTCACTTTAGCTTGTTACAGGTGTTTGCTTTCCCAGAATTTGACACATACATATATTTGGCTTTCCTTTATCACTCACCGTCTGGTTTGAGCCTTTCTGTATCAACATCAACTACACAGAAGAGACAATACCTTTCAGCCCTAGCCCCGGATTAAGATCCTCTGGAGTACTTTGAAATGCCGGAGCCTCATCCCAGCAAAATGAACCACAGTTTCTGGTGGGTGGACCCATCAAGTGTCTTTCAAAGCACTGCGGGTGGTTCTTCCGCGCAGTCCCATCGAGAGCCGTTGGGTTAGGCGTTTCCTTCTGGTTTGCCAGTCTTCCTGGAGCACGTCTTAGTCCCGTTCACAAACTTCAACTGCCTCTCACTGCCTCCTGACTCAAGTCCCAAATTTAGCACATTTAAGGCTCTCTGTAATTTGACTTTAAGTTACTTCTACAGCCTTAGCTTATATTATTTTCCTATGAACTTTACTAATAGGCTTTTGCTCTACTTTGCTGTCCTTGCCTGTGCTACTGCTCTACTCACAGTGTCTTTTTGTCCCTGTTCTACCCTTAGCTGTCCTTTGTATTTAGGATCTACTTGGGGAGTTTCTAAATGAATGCTTCCCTGATAGCCACCTCTTACCCTGTGCTGAAGAGAGTGCCTTCTCACACATCTTTAGTACCTTTGACCTTGATCTGTTGGTTGTACCGATCATTCTACTCCGTGATCTTACTGGCACTCTCTTCTACAAAATGATCGATGTTTTTGAGGGCAGGGGTTTTCTTATATACAGCTGCCTCCCCCTACAGTGTAGCATAGCTGGTGATAAAAATCAACAAAAGCTGGTCTTACATAAAGGCCTTGAGTTTGAAGTAGTCAAACCCAATACACCAAACTCTCTGTTCTCATTAGGAGTTCCACTAGGAGTCACCTTTTTTCTTCACTTAGCTCTCTGTCCAGCTTAGATCAGCCCTCTTAATACTTCTGCCACTCTTGGCAAGATCCTAGACCCCCTTACTGTCATTATTTTAGAACCGTGTGGCCAAACCCGAATCTCGGCTGAGTTCAGCTCGATCCGCCTCTGACCGTGTTGGGCTGCTGAGCACCGCTACGGAAAACCATACGAGGGCACAGGTCGGCGCCACTACAGAATCGGCGGTCCCCGTCCTCAACTACGTCCTCAACAGGAGCAAGCTCTCCTTTGTTGTTCAAGGCAATTTGAACAGTCTTACGAAATCTTCACCTTCCCCAACTCTATTGGCAGATTATTTCACAGGGAAAAATGACAGGGAAACCTTCCTGAACTGCATCACCGAATCTGTACCTGCCCCCACTACAAGTCCTTCCTCCTCCTCAGAAAATTCAAGAATCCAGGATCTGTATTAAAGATAGCATCCTTTCCAAGCTCCTTACAAAGTCTGCTCTGTGATTACCCTGGCTCCCAACTGGCTTGTGCACCAGCATCCTGTCAGGAACTGCAATACAGACTCCCAGACTCTATCCAAACCTTGAACTTGAAGCAGTCCTCCCTGATTCTTACACAGCCTTCACGTTCCTTCACTATCTTCAACTTCTCTAAATGGGTCCTTTCCTTTCTTTAGATACGACCAAACCTTTTTTTTTTTTTTAAACAGTCTTTTTCTCCTCAACCCGCTTCCTTCTTTTCCCCTTCAAAAGCTAATTCCTTGCCTGAACTGTTGGACAAACCCCATCTCAACATTTACCAATGAACCCATGTGAGATTGGTTATCACTCCACTGCAACTTTTAAGTTCAGAATCCACTTTGCTTGTCTTGACACAATAGTACGTTACACTGCTGAATACTTCATTTGAAAGACTCTAAACTGGACTTGTGACATTATGCTCCCCTGGTTTTTTCCCCTACCTCTGGGGTCTTTACTCAGATGCTGATTTCACCTCTAAGCATCTCTTAAATCTTTTTTTTTTTAGATTTTTTAAAAATTTATTTGACAGAGACACAGCGAGAGAAGGAACAGAAGCAGGGGGAGTGGGAGAGGGAGAAGCAGGCTTCCCGCCAAGCAGGGAGCCCGACGTGGGACTCGATCCCAGGACCCTGGGATCATGACCTGAGCCAAAGGCAGTTGCTTAACCACTGAGCCACCCAGGCGCCCCAAAAAGTAACTCTTAAAACAGTACTTTATGCATCCCTAGTGGAATAAACCCTACGGAAAAAATCTTTGGGGTACCTGGGAGGCTCAGTGGGTAACCGTCTGAACCTTGATCTCAGCTCAGGTCTTGATCTCAGGGTTTTGAGTTCAAGGCCCAGGTCGGGCTCCATGCTGGCTGTAGAGCCTACATTAAAAATAAATAAAAATCTTTACCTGTCATTAGTCACACTATCTATCAGTGGTAGTGTTGGTGTTAGTATCCTGAGACTGCTGTGTACATACCATGTGTTAAAGGAAATGAGTAATAATCTAGTTTGTTATTACTAGAATCTCTTTAGAAGTAGGATTCTCTGCATGGGAGAAAGGAACTACAGATGTACAATAGAGGGAAAGCAAAATCCTTGTGGCCTGAGTTTGCAGTGCAAGCATTTATATGTACTCACAACACATCTTAAATAAACCAAATTTTCCTCCTTTCTGCTGAATAGGCCTGCAAACAACTACCAATCATGGCAGTGAGCATCCGATTCGCCCCTGGACTGTAGTTTTGAGGTTATACTTCCTACTAAACGGAACCAAAGATTCTTGGGAGAAAAGGCTGATTCTAGATAAGGGGCAAGAAATGTACGAAGGGGGGCGCCTGGGTGGCTCAGTCGGTTAAGTGACTGCCTTCGGCTCAGGTCATGATCCTGGAGTCCCGGGATCGAATCCCGCATCGGGCTCCCTGCTCGGCAGGGAGCCTGCTTCTGCCTCTGACCCTCCCCCCTCTCATGTGCTCTCTCTCTCTCATTCTCTGTCTCAAATAAATAAAATCTTTAAAAAAAAAAAAAAATGTCATGTTAGTACTTTCACTTAAAATGATCTAAATGTTAAGTATATTAATAAACCAGAATAATCATCACTAGAAACTAACCTGTTAACCTACAGAAGAATTCACTCCCACAAATCTAAGTGAAAAAATGATCAAGTGATAAAGTCAGATGTTCATTTTAATTTAAATGAATTTTTCATTTAAGATACATCTGAAGAGGGGCGCCTGGGTGGCTCAGTTGGTTAAGCGACTGCCTTCGGCTCAGGTCATGATCCTGGAGTCCCGGGATCGAGTCCCGCATCGGGCTCCCTGCTCAGCGGGAAGTCTGCTTCTCCCTCTGACCCTCCTCCCTCTCATGCTCTCTCTCATTCTCTGTCGCAAATAAATAAATAAAATCTTAAAAAAAAAAAAAAAAAAAAGAAATGTACGAAGGAAGCTAGAAACACCTTACACCAGCTATCCAGGAAGCCATCAAAGAATGTTGCAGTCATGTCAAAAGACTTGGGAACCAAGTAGCCAACAGGAACCACTGGCCAGGCCTGACAGCGGCTCCACAGGAAGGGAAACACCTCGGATTCAGGATTGCTGGAAAGGCCCCGAGGGCCCAGCAGGGCAGCAGGGCATTTGGGGTCTGCCAGCATTCACCATGCAAACCTCCCCCTCAACAGCACAGGGCCGGGGGGACTGCGGGCCACAGGAATATGACCAGATGGGTAGGGCAGGCCTCATCCCACAGGCCGGAAGGGCAGATGCCTGAGGGAAGGTGCGGGGCACAAACTGCCTGCGGGAGGCACTGAGTCAGCACCCAGGCTCCCAGCGACCGGCCCCGGGTCCAGCTTGTAGGGAAAGCCAGGGGCCACAGAATTTCCTAAAAAACAAAACAAAACACAACAACAAAAAAAAACCACTGGCCAAAGAGAGGACAATGTGAGCAACAACAGTAAGAATAATAACTCCAATGAGAGGAAGATAAAGACGTTAAGAATTTTTTGAAAATTAAAGCTTCTGAATCGTAACACATTTCCCCTTCACTTACTGTGGTTAATTTTCTTGGCCTTTTATCATTGTACCAGTAGCATTATTTGGGGGGGGGGGGTGGCAGTAAAATGCACACATTAAATATGTATTTGAAAGCAGACATTTTGGGCGCCTGGGTGGCTCAGTTGGTTAAGCGACTGCCTTCGGCTCAGGTCATGATCCTGGAGTCCCTGGATCGAGTCCCGCATCGGGCTCCCTGCTCGGCAGGGAGTCTGCTTCTCCCTCTGACCCTCCTCCCTCTCATGCTCTCTGTCTCTCATTCTCTCTCTCTCAAATAAATAAAATCTTAAAAAAAAAAAAAAAAGAAAGCAGACATTTTTCCAATACCAACCACATGTTGTGTCCTTTATCTTCTGTGTTCAAAATATTCCTCTGGGACACCTGGGTGGCTCACTCAGCTAAGCGTCTGCCTTCGGCTTGGGTCACGGTCCCAGTGTCCTGGGACCAAGTCCTGCATGGGGCTCCCCGCTCAGCGGGAAGCCTGCTTCTCCCTCTTCCTCTGCTCCTCCCCCCCACTCTCTCTCTCAAAATCTTAAAAAAAAAAATATTCCTCTCTGTGAGGATGTCAGCTGCCTAATGGTACATAAAGAGACCTACTTGACCCTTAATCTACTGAACCTCCTAGGGGATTCCACACTATAGGTCAGCGCTTTTTTTCTACTAAATGGTCCACTAAATACTTAACCTCTTTATCTTCAGAAATTAAAACATTAGCATGAAAATTTTCAAACATTTTGTCTTACTTTTATTTAGAAAAAGTATACCCATATTTGAATTATTAAACACTAAATGACTTTATATCAAAAGAGAAGTATCATTAATCATCTAATAATAATGAATGTCCAAGTCTATTCATGTGTTCCTGCCAAAATGTGGCATTTTAAAAAATAGATTATGTAAAACAAAAAAACAACAAAAAACCCCACTCCAGTAGAATATATTAAATATGTTTAATCTACCAATTCATTTTCAAAACCCACAAATAGTTGATCATTATTAGAGGATAAAACAAAGGGAAAAATTGAAGCATTTTATCCTTCCTTTTATATACAAACTGAATCATGCAGCAATAGAGGAATTGAGGGCAAATTTTTTCCTTATATCAGATTCCAGCTAATAGGTAAGAAATGACAGCATGGGACTATCATTATATTTTATGCCAAAATGTACCTGGGCAATGATTATCAATGGCTGCTAATATAAAAAAAAAAGAGAGACAATTAGGTTGGTAGGATAACAGCCTACCTATAGTCACCTTGCCCCTTTTCCATCAAGACTGAATCTGATCAAGTTTCTACACACAAGTACCAGTTTATGAAAGTACAGATGTTAGAAGAACATATTAAATTATGCCAAGAGGATGCAATCAACTAAATCCAGATTTTGGAAAACTGCAGGACAAATGACTCAAATTTCTTAACAAATTGAAAAATATATATAAAGTTGTGAAAGGAGGAACCTATAATAGAAACTTAAAAGATTTATCTGCCAATAGCATTGTGTAGACTTTACTTTGGTCCTGATTCAAACAAAAAATAAATATGGCTTCACACAAAAACTTGTACACAATGTTCATAGCAACATTATTTATAATAGCCAAAAAGTGGGTAAATAAAATGTGGTATATCCATACACTGGTATTCAGCAAAAAAAAAAAAAAAAAAAAAAAAAAGTAGGGGCACCTGGGTGGCTCAGTTGGTTAAGCGTCCGACTTGATTTCAGTTTAGGTCTTAATCTCAGGGTTGTGTGTTCAAGCCCTCCATTGGGCTCCACACTGGGTGTGGAGCCTACTTAAAAAAAAAAAAAAAAAAAGTATTTCATGCTATAACATGGATCAGCCTTAAAAACTTTATGCTAAGTGAAGGAAGTCAGACAGAAAAGGCCATATAGTATTATACCATTTATACAAAATGTCTATAATAGGTGAATCCATAGAATGTATCTTAGTGGATGCCAGGGCCTGAGTGGGAAATGGGAAGTAACTGCTAATGGATACAGGGTTTCTATTTGGGGTGATGGAATTAAGATAGTGATGATGATCGTGCAACTCTGTGAAAATACTATAAGCCACTGAATTGTATACTTTAAATGGGTGAATTTTATGGCATGTGAATTGAATCCCAATAAAAAATATGGCATTCATGAGACATATGGAAATTTAAATACGGATTTGCTACTTGATAACACTGTTATCAGCTTATAACATTAAAACATTTATCTTTTAGAGATACATCTTAAATATTTACAGATTAAATATAATGCCGGGGTTTGCTTCAAAAATAATACAGGGTAGTTGGAAAACCAATATTTTGCAGCTGTCAGAGTAAGAGTTGAATCAGGCAAGAATCATCAATGGATGCTGTGATGATCCTAAAATATGTCCACAAATTCTTTGATATTCTCCCTTCTGGAGTTGGTACTTAAAGTTGGAGCTTAATTCTTTCTTGAATGTGGGTTGGACTTAGTAATTTCTAATGAGTAGACTGTAGCGGAACTGATAGTGTATGACCCCCAGAGTAGGTCACAAAAGGCATTGCTCTCTCCGGGATCACTTGCTTTAGAGGAAGCCAGTCCGTGCCATGAGGACACAGAAGTAACTCTAGGGAGAGGTCCGTGTGGCAAGGAGGTGACATTTCCAGCACTAAATTGCCAGGCATGTGAATGAACCATCTTGGAAATGGACTCTCCAGCTCCAGGCAAGCCTTCAGATGATGGCAACTTCTCACCAACAACGAAACGTAATCTCACCAGAGATCCTGAGGCAGAACCATCCAACCAAGCCAATTTCCTGACCCACAGACACTGAGATCACAAATATTTGTTTTAAACAAGTAAGTTTTGACATATGTATTATGCAGCAATAGGAAGTAAATACAGATGCTGAATCCAAGGGAAATTTTGATAAGCAGATTAGCTGCATGATCTTAAAGCATCTCCAGAGATTATTTGCCAGGGATGGGGGTGGGGGGGAGAGGAGTCAGGGCAGTAACTGCATGGTGATGCAACTGGGCAACACCCCTGACCAGTGATCAAGATCAACATCACCAATAAGGGGCAGATAGACACATGCCTCCACATGTAAAACTCTGAAAGGGACACATCATCATCTAGGCAGTGCTCTGGTCAAGAATGCCTATTTTGAATCTAATCCTAAGAAAATGGTAGGCAAACACCCCAATGAGGACCATCTTACTAAAAAAAGGAAGAGGGATTTATATTTCCAAAATATCAATGTCATAAAAGAGAAAGGCTCTGGAAATGGAGGCTGACAACTGAATATAATACCTGGCCCTGACCTGGATCCTCTACTGGAGGGGAAAGCAATGCTATAAAGAACACAACTGACAAAACTGGGATACAGGGGCGCCTGGGGGCTCAGGCGGTTAAGCGTCTGCCTTCGGCTCAGGTCATGATCCTAGCGTCCTGGGATGGAGCCCTGCATCGGGCTTCCTGCTCCACAGGGAGCCTGCCTCTCCCTCTGCCTCTCTCTCATGAATAAATAAAAAATCTTAAAAAAAGAAAAGAAAAGAAACTGGGATACAAATGGTGTAGAGATAAAATTGAGTCAGTGTTAAATTTACTGAAACTGGTAACTGTACTCAATGGTATGTAAGAGACTATCCTTATTTTAAGGAAAAACACAATGAAGTAGTTCAAGGTAAAGGGCCAGGATATATGTAACTTACCCCCAGTAGGTGGAAAAAAATGTCTGCGGGAGAGGCGTGTGTGTATGTGAGAGAGGGTGAGAAAGAACATATTAAAAAAGCAAATGAAGTAAGATGTTAGTAACAGATGAATCTGAGTAAAGGGTAATAGGTGTTTGGTTTTGCCTTACTGTTTCATTTTTGTTAACTTACCTGTATCCTTGAAATTACTTCCAAATATAAAGTTTTAAAAATAATTCTATGGGACGGAGGGAAAAAGTGAGGGTAAAGATGAATTTAGATTGGTTATAAACTGACAACTATTGAAGCTGAATGGCATATTGCAAAAGGAGGTTTATTAAACTCTTCTGACTACTTATGTATTTGAAATCTGCCATAGTAAAAGGTAAACAATTAGAGAACTGAACTTGGAAGATCCCAAGCGTCTCTTCCAGTGGTTCCATGGTCTTTCTAAGGGCATTAAAATTTTTTTGCACATTCACAGCACTGTGTAACTGTCAGCACCACCCATCTCCAGAACTTATCTTGCAAAACGGAATCTCTGTACCCAGCCACCAGTAACTCTCTGCTGCCCCTGCCCCACAGCCTCTGGCAAGCACCCTTCTGCTTTCTGTTTCTAGGACTGTGGCTACTCTAGGTATGCTACACAAGCAGAATCATACAGCATTTGTCCTTTTGTGACTGGCTTATTTTACTTAGCATCATGTCTCCAAGGTTCATCCATGTAGCAGCACGTGCCAGAATTTCCTTCCTTTTCAAGGCTGAGTAATATTCCATTGCGTGTATATCGTACATGGTGTTTATCCGTTCGTCGGTGGCTGGACACTGCTTGCTTCCACCCCTTGACTATCATGGAAAATGCTGCCGTAAACACGGTGTATGTGGACCTCTTGAAATCCCCGCCTTCAATTTTAAGCCTGGATTTTTACAAATTGTTAGAGAAAGAAGGTTATATTTTAAATTCCTCTTACCACCTGGGATTTAGTCTGTTTGATGTTTTTAAGTGATCTTTAAAGGGGCAGTGACAATGCTTTTCACAGTGTCAACACGGATGGTCTTGACACTGAAGCTGAGCTTCGGTTTCATTTCAAGTGAACTCTTCACGTGCAGTGCTATTCACATGACTGTTGGAAAGTTATTTCTGTTGGAGCGATTCGATAATAGAAACCTTGTTGTAGGTTTTGGACACTGGGTAAGGAGGGGGAAAAATGACCGAGGTTGGTCAAGTTCGTGAGAAAGGGCATGTGAGCCTGGCTTCTCCTGAGTAGCACAGTCCTCTTCGAGGCCCGAGAACTATTCTCCCCGTGTCCCCCAGCACGTTGGCACTTCTTCCCACTCTCCTCAAGGGTTACATAATTACACAGACCAGCACCGTGGGCCTTTTCCCACTTGGACGGTACTTTCTGGAACTGCTAGATTTCCAGATGAGAACTGTTTATTCTGGATCAGACTTAATTTGGTCAGCTGAATTCTCTTGGGTATGGAGAGTTTTTCTTACCCTTGGCCTACTTTCTGTGGTACTAAATACCCTTTTACAGTTTCACCAAGCACTTTGTGAAATAGAAATAGTTGAAAGCACTGCTTTATTTTGCTTCCTTAGCTCCTTTTGCTCTTTCAGTGCATCAGTTACACTGTGCTTGGTAAGCTGTAACCACAGAGCCTGGCACCGGGAAGGAAGGTTTTGTTCATGTTACAGCAGTCATCAAGTGCCTACTACGTGCGAGGCCTCCCACCCTCACTGTCCATTCTAACGCTAGATCATTAGCCCCAGAACAGTAGGAATGGCGATGGAGACGTGTTCAGGGCCCGAGAGGCTTCTACTCACAGGCAGTGTCTTCTCGACCTCCATTTGTGCTTGGATTGTCCCCTCCCTCCAGTACAGTAGCCAACTTCTCACACCGGAGTGGGAGAAACAGAGAAGACACACGAAGGAGGAAGAAGAAATGCAGAGGGAAGCAAGTCGGATTCCTGCCCCCCTCACAAAGGAAGGAAGAAATGGTCAAGTGCTGCGGGAAGGTGTCCACTTCAGTCAGAGTGGCCTTACTCATCATTCATCCGAGACTTCGAGCAGTTTCCCACCGGAGAGAGTAAGTTGGCCCCTGAACAACATGAGTTTGAATTGTGTGGGTCTACTTATACATGGAGTTTTTTTGATATAGTATGGAACTGTAATGTATTTTCTCTTCCTTATGATTTTCTTAATAACATTTTCTTTTCCCTAGCTTACTTTATTCTAAGTATACAATACATATAACTTACAAAATATATATTGATTGACTGTTTACATTATCGGTAAGGCTAGTGGTCAACAGTAGGCTATAAGTGAAGTTTTGGGGGAGTTGAAAGTTACAAATTTTTGACTGCATGGGGGCGGTAAGTGCCCCTAGTCCCTACTTTGTTCAGGGGTCAACTGTACTTTTTTCCTTCCTTTATCTGCCACTTAGGGGATTTCCTCCTCCTCACTCTCTTTTCCTTAGTCCTGTAGTCTCACCAACTCGGGTGGTTTTTATGAGTCTCAGTCTTCTTCTGGCTTTAGCATCTCCAGAGACTGATTTCTTCCTTAGCTCTCCTCCATCATCACTCCTTAACCCCTTCCTAAAGCTTTACTCACTCTGACCTGCTCCTTTTCGGCATCACAGACCATGGGCCCCCCTGAGGGTGGGCTAAAAATCTGCTCTTACCTTTATTGCCTCTATTCAGAATCTTACCTTCTTCAGTCACTCAAGGAACGGAGCCAATGCCACTTCCTCCAGGAAGCCTTCTCTGATTATCCCAGCAGAAAGGACTGCCATGGCACTTTACTGGACCTCTTAAGATACTCATCACTTTGGCGCCTGGGTGGCTCAGTCGTTAAGCGTCTGCCTTCTGCTCAGGTCATGATCCCAGGGTCCTGGGATCAAGCCCCGCATCGGGCTCCCTGCTCGGCGGGAAGCCTGCTTCTCCCTCTCCCACTCCCTCTGCTTGTGTTCCCTCTCTCGATGTGTTTTCTGTAAAATAAATAAATAAAATCTTAAAAAAAAAAAAGATACTCATCACTTTATATCAAATTTTTGAGCAGGTCTCCTCTCATCTTCTGAACTCCAGACAGGATGATACTAAGTCCTGAGGCCTAGCAGAGGGGAGCTATGTTTTTAGCTGTCAGGTTCTAAGTTAACACATTTTTTTGGACTGTGGTACAGAGCATTTCAGTTTAAAACTTTACCTGGGAATTTACACTTCAAGGCATTTAGTGGGAGTGAATGATCTATTGAGGCCACGGAGGATGGATGAGCTTGCACAGAGGGCCAGCTCAGGATCACTGCAGCTGTAAGAAGACAATGTGGTTTAACTTTGGTCTCAGTGGTTTCTAGTAAGTGCTGCTGAGGGACCATCTTCTAGGGCATGGCCAGGAGGAGCAGGTGGAAAGGCTACTTTTCAAGTTCTCTGCTATCCTACTTTGACCTAATCATCCCCCAGAGCAAAGCACGTGGTTCATCTGGGAAAGCTGATGAGAAAAAAAATTCCATGGATTGGAGCAAATATGAATGAAAATCCAGATGGTGACTACAGATGGACTTTTTGAATATACAAAGCACTCCCTTCCTGCTTGTAAACCGTGTAGAGGAAAAGTGAGTTTTACCCAAGTTTAAACCTATCCACACAGAGCTGATGAGGCATGTCTCCTGGGTCTCCACTTGGCCAAGAAGAGTAAGTTAGATGCTGGAGTGTCCCCTGCACTCCCCGAATCACTCAGACTTGCTTTCCACTAACAAGCCCCACTAAACTCTGGCTAAATCAAAGAAAAACGCATGTTCTCACAGTGACTGCTTTTTGATGGAGGACGGCATCACAGGGGTTTTGTTCTTGGGCCTATTGTTTGGGGCACATGTGATTTGAAGTCAGTGGAAAGCTGTGAGCCTGGCTACTGGGGAAGGGAAAGGAAAGGGTGCTGCTGGTTCAGAGAAACATCACTGAATTTAGGGCCAACGGCAGTGCGATGGCAGTGGTAGTAGCCCCTCCTCGACCAAGGTTCTAAAATGCAGCACCCAACCTGCCTCGGGCCTGCAAGGAAGCCCTTCCAGGTTTTCCCCCTGCCTTCCAGAACACGCCTATACCCCTTCTCCTGGCTCACGAAGTTCTCCCCATCCTGAGCTGGCCATTTAGGTCCCAGCCACACCAAAGAACATTCACTGCTTCCAAGTCTGCCTAGGCTGTCTTCTGAGCACCAGAGCCCTCTACAGCTTACCACCTCTTCCCTCAGCCCCACAACTATCACATAGCCTTCAGGTCTCAACTTAGGCTTCCAGGGAGGAGACTTCTACTTGTCCCCGTCGGACAGCAGCTGGCCACCACGATGTGCTTGAACACACTCTGGCTTACCTCTGACCTGGCCCTCTCTGTCCCCTGTGGTAACTGCTCACCTGCCCTGATGAACAGCAAGCTCCAAGAGGGCCAGGAACCACGTGTAGGGCATGTGCTATGTGCGTGCAGAGTAGGCACTCAAATACTGGATCAGGAGAAGGCAGGGTTTAAAATGCAGTATGAGTATGAGGGACTTGGGTTCGTCGTAAGAGTGGCTTCCCAGCGCAAGTAGCCAAAGATGTGCAAATCTTGGGTCTCTGGAGGCCAGTGTGCCTAGGACCTGTGGCTGCCCAGGACAGTTCTGGAAAACACTGGACCACACTATGTGATTGTTAGACTTGGGGAATGTCAGCCTTTCGGAGGAAATGAAGTTTCTTCATCCATCTCCATGAACTGGTGCACAGAACCTGTAATAAAATGAGAAAAATGAAGACAAATTAAATTAGTACACCTCAAACAGTTAATATTTGATTTAAAGGATTCTCCTTTACTCTGACCCTGTGCTCTTCCCATGTTTTGGTATTAAAATGGCTCAGTCGTTAAGCGTCTGCCTTCGGCTCAGGTCATGGTCCCAGGGTCCTGGGATCGAGCCCCGCGTCGGGGTCCCGGCTCAGCGGGGAGCCTGCTTCTCCCTCTCCCACTCCCCCTGCTTGTGTTCCCTCTCTCGCTGTATCTCTCTCTGTCAAATAAATAAAATCTTTAAAAAAAAAAAAAAGAATTCTAGTCATCAAAACATATCATAAAGAATGAAGACACAGAACGAGATATTTGTAACACACATAACTGACAAAGAAATAGTATCCAGAATACATACATATATATACATATAAAAAATCATAGAACACTCAAGCAAATAAGAAACTGACAACCTAATAGACAAATGGGTAAAAGACTTGAACAGGCATTTAACAAACGTAGAAATCTATATGGTTAATAAATAAATGAAAAAGTACTCAACCTTATTAATACTCAGGAAAATGCAAATTAAAACCCACAATGAGATATCATTTCACACCCACCAGATCGGCAAAATTTTAAATTCCTTGTGATACCAAAGCATTGGAGACAATGTGAAAAAATACCCAGCAGTTTCACTCCCGCGTGTATACCCTGGAGAAGCACGTGCAGGTGCGCTGGGACACGCAAACCAGGACGGTCAGAGCAGCGCCGCCGTTCGCGTCAGCCCCAAACAGGAAACTTGGAGCCAAGCCCACCAGTGGCCGGCTGGACGAACCGTGGGACGGCTGCACAATGGCACAGTGTTACCGAACAATGAAAGAGAAAAATCTAAAACCAAAATTAAGCAGAAAAAGACCTAATTCAAAGGGTTGATTCTATTTATACAAGTTCAAAAACAGATAAAAAACAGACTATGCTGTTTGGGATACATACATAGGAGGAAGGAGGTAAAATTATAAAAAAATTATCTTGAAAGTGAGAGTACAAGATACTTCTGGAGGAGGAGGAATTATCACCGAGGAGACACAGGGGGCAGGGTTTTTAGGTGCTGCTAAAACACTGGTTCTTATGTGGGTCATGGTTACATGAATGGTCGCTTTAGATTTATTTTAATGTATGTTCCTTACTCTTTTCTGTATGTGTATTTCACTTAAGTTGCCCATCTCCTTTTTAAAAAGTGTTTTACTAATTGCCAATCTCCAAGCCTCGGAAGCACCTTTTTTTTTTTAAGATTTTATTTATATATTTGACAGAGAGAGATAGTGAGAGCAGGAACACAAGCAGGAGGAGTGGGAGAGGGAGAAGCAGGCTTCCCGCCGAGCAGGGAGCCCGATGTGGGGCTCGATCCCAAGGACCCCGGGATCATGACCCGAGCCGAAGGCAGACGCTTAACGACTGAGCCACCCAGGTGTCCCCCGGGAAGCACCTCTTTATGTAGTACTCAATAAATGCTGAGTCCGAGTGTTTCAGAAAGGATTCAAAGTAGCCCCGGGGGAGACTTTAAGAAGGAAGAGAGGCTGGAGCTGGGCCTTCAATGTGGGTTCTCTCAATAATGCTTCTCTAACAATTAGGAGGTGGGAAAGGGATATGTAGCAAAGGTTTCCGTTGGTCGGCGGGCTTGCGGAGACTAGGGCGGCAGTGGAGAATCTAGCAGGGCATGGGTTACCGTGTGCTGGACTCTGTGTGCCTCACTTAGGAATCTGCAGACAGTTAAGGAGACAGTGAGGGTTACCATATAACAATTAAAAATACTCTGTTTTAGGAAGATGTCTCTGGGTATGGAGGTAGGACCGGAAACAGGGAAACCAGTTAAGGGTCAGACCCAACCCACTGGGAATGTGGAAGTAGAGTTAGAAAGAGATGGGACTGAGACATGTGACTCAGGAAGAACAGTGAGAACTTAGTGACTGAGTAACTGACTTTTCCAAAAACTGCTTTTCTGTTCTTTTCCATTCTAAAGCTAACTCTAGGGGTACAAAGAGGAACTGAAGGTAGATTCTGCTTTACAAGGACAAGTGGCTGAATCACGGAAGGTCAGAGCAGGACTGACAGACACCGATTTGATGCTGAGGACCTGACCGAAGTCTTTAAATTCCCTACAGCTACTGAAGAGAAGTGCTTGGGCAGGAAGAAGCAGGAAAAGTAAAGGACGGCGGTCATAACCCAAACCAGAACGAGCGATCTAACGAACCCCAACATACTCATCACCTGGCTTCGGCAATGATCCGGATTTCATCATGTGGCTTTCGTCATTCTTCCACAGTTCCAGTCCACATCTACGTGCTCCGGGAGTGTGGCCGGGTCCAGTGAAAGAGCAAACACAAACACATACATTTAAATGATCTGAATCTTGGTTCTGCTGTTGTGTCGGGACGTCAGCAGTTCCAAATGCAGGTGTTCACAGGAAGAGCAAAGAGCATAACCATTCTCATCTCCTGCCCCAGGCTGTTCCCTGGCTTCAGACTCCAGGATCACACAAAGTGTGTTCACGTGCGGCCCCCCAACCCTGTGGAGATGAAACCTAGGCAGAGAAGTCCTTCAGGAAGGGTTGTTCCTTGGAAGAAAAACTGGCTGCACAATCACAGTCCTTCTAGATGTTACCAGATTCAATAATTGCCACTCCCATCCTATGGGCGTAAAGAACAGGCAGTTGTGACCTCGGAGGTGAGGGGGCACCGTCCACCTCGCCATGGCAGAGCCTGACGCCCAGATGGCAGAGGTCCTTGGAAAAGGGGAGATGCCGGTGGTGCCTGGCTCCACTGTCCCCAAATACCTCATCATCTTGGGGGTGCTAATGGTCCATGTCAGAGAACACTGGGACCTTAAACTTAACCCCACACTCAAGGAAGTACACCCTCCCCCAGGGCAAAGTAACTTGTCTGCTTCTGTGAAGCACATCACCAAGCTCCTCTTTTGTAGAACAGCTGTAAGAAAATCACAGGACATGGAAATAAATATGAAAATATGCCAGGAGCCCTCAGTGGAAATGCCAAGCGCTATTTTGAAGCTTACCAGTCCAGGTGGGAAAATAGGCTGCTCGAGACAATGTTCTATTCCCCTGGGGGTTTCTGTCAGTGAGCATGTGATGAGATATTATCGCACGACCAATCTCTGTTTGGTTGTATTTTGTGCACTTAGCATTCCAGAGAAACTAAAGGGTTCTTCCTGCAGGGGCCACCACCTTAAAAACAGAGGCACCACCATAAGCAATATCAAAATGAGACGTTAAATGAGCAACGAGTCCTCTAGTTCCATCTGTGTGCTGGTTTCTCACATGAAGCTGGCACTGCTGTCCAACCGTGAAGCAGGCCAGAGACCACACTGACAGCATGAAGTGTACTTCTAGAAAGACAGTACGACTATATGCAGGACAAACAAGATACTTTTATTCTTATTTTTCCTTAAAATAAAGATACATAAGTTTTACAGTTCACTATGATTAGACGTGATTTATAATCTTAACATTTTTTTTTTAAACAAATGACAACAGAAACCAAAGAACTAGTACAAATTATAAAACCACTGGAGCAAAGAAGAACTATCTTTTTGATCAAAACATGTGCCACAGCTAAACCTCCGCAGAAAACTTTCTAAGATCTCTTAGCTAAACTTTCTTAGAGAGGGTTTGTGGGAAGCCTTTAATCTCAAATGTTTAAATTATTTTTGTGACTACTAAATGCATTCACCAACTTGTTATTAATCGAATGCTCCCTAAATTTAGGAACCAATGACCAAGTGGCCTGAAACACATTAAGTCTTGATCCCATTTTTCCAGCTATAAATTATTAATATTTCAAGAAAACAAAGATTTTTTAGCACAGAAGCTTTCTAAAAAACTTCAATTACCTTTTCTGGCTCAGTACCTGACTGAAATGTTCAAATGTTTATATTGCACACAAAATAATTTGAGCAGCATACTATGTGTGTGAGAAGCTGATGAAAAATAAGACTGGAAAAAACCCCCTAAATTGTGTCCCATTTACATGATTTAAATATATAGTTTCTATATCTTTAATTAATATAAGTAAAAAGGTAAACTTTAGAACAGCACAGAAATACAAATCATTAGAGTTTTACAAAATATACTCAACCCCTCTACATGCACAATCGTTTAATTCTGGAGTTACCACACAAGGGAGGAGCTAATTTCTTCCCCTTCATATGAAAGCAGGAAGTCATGTGTACAAAGTTATTTATACAAAAAGAATAAAGATCCACATTCCTTTTCTTTGTCCTTGACAAATATTTATGGAATGTTAGAAATTATGACAAAACAATTCCAATGTCATGAAGTCCAAAGACCTGGAATGAAAAACTCCTAGTGGCATGCTGTGTCGCATGAAATGACGATCATCTTCTAGAAGCTGGGGCTGCGTTCCCTGTCAGCCCCAGAGGCTACCACTGATCTGGGTGGAAAGGCCACGAATGCTGTGTCACCTCTGGTCAAAGAATCAGCGTACAGATGCTGATGCCATTTCAAGAGTCCCAGCCAAGCCCCTGATAAAACACGGGTGATATTTAGCAGCTACCTTCCTAAAAGGCTACTTTCCCAAACTGCTGACATAGATAAAAGTTCATGCGGTTCACGATCAGCTCCCTGCCCCTCACAGAGCTGAGGGCTCCCCAACTCCTCACCAGGACCAGAGGGGGAAAAAAACCACCGGCTGGCTGTAACTTCCACAAAACAAAGAACAAAACCCGCCTGTCAGGGAGATAATGTTATAGCTTCATTTTAAAACTTGTAATTAGTAGATTAAAATTCTAACTTCTTTGTAAAAGAATTCTTATAACCTTTAGCACATTAAATACTGCTCTCAAAATACCTTCATTCAGATTTTAAGTACCTTGTTCTTCAGCCTTGCAACTTCTAACTTGTCTACTTGTCTCCCTTCCTAATTTGCTTTCTCCTTGCCTTTCTGAAGTAAATTATTCTTAAAAAAAAAAAGAAAAAAAAAGGGCAATGCTTAATATAGAACTCAGAAAGCAAGATAAGATTGAAGAAATCACGTCGTACGCTCTGGGTTTCTGCCTGAGGATAGTTCTGCTGTTTCTTAAAGCAAAAAGTAGATGAGGACTGTTTTAGAGCTTGGGCGCTAGGACATCACTAGTGGATCTGGGGACAGGCTATTCATCCTGGTTACAAGAGTCAAATGCATACACACGATGACTAAGCCTCACTCTGACATGCAACTTTTTCTATTCACTTAGCCCAGGACAGGTGGTTGGTAGCCTTAACTCTTTTCCTTCTCTATGTAAATTGTCATTACAGTGCCTTAGTAGGAACTAAATGCTGCCAAGGACTTCTTCCCAGCACTACTTTTAAGTTCCTAGATGGCAGTGAGGCCCCCGCCAAGCTACAGAGGCAGTCCATGTGCCTGGCACACCCTGGAAAAGCCTGGCTGACCCTAGCTCCCTCAGGCCTAGTTACAAATACTCAGTTCTTAGACAGAAAAGCACTGGAGCAAGCATGGCCCAACAAAATATCCCCCTTTACTAGTGAGATGTCCAAAGACGGCCTAAGGTTGGCTCCTATCGCTCACAGAACCAAGGAGGCTACAGCCTCTGGGGCTGGCCACTCAGCTGACACCTGGAATCCAAGTGACAAGCATGTAGGCTCATGGGACAAAAGGCCAGGCTTCCTGCTGTCAAGTGCGCTGACTGTCCCCAGGCCCCTGCCAACAACATATTAGCTTATGCTCCCTGAAAACTCCAATGCCTCCCAGAACCTGAAGGAAATATAGTTACGGTCTTTTGACTACTTCTCCAACAAAAGTTCTATCTTTTGAGATATTCACTTTATACTGAAAGCCAGTTAAATGACCACCTTAAGAGTTGACCTCTTAACTAGAAAGTTCATGTAAAAGTGTATATTAAAATGGGGAATAAGTGATCCTAAAGTAAAGTTTAACTATTTTTATTTCAGTGGGATATCAAAGTGTGGACTGGCCTGCTTCTGAACAGTGACAGATGGGAGTTTACCCTAAGCCCACAAACCATACAAACTGGAGCATGGACCAGTAGCGTGCTGGCTGACCTGTCACGGGGCTCTCAGCATGTGAACTTCGGGCAGGTGAGAGGTAACAATTGCACACTAACACTACAACACTCTAATGATGTGGCCTCATGAAACAAGATGTTAGAATGAATTCTTTATAGTCTCAGTGTGACACTGATTAAAGTACCTTTTAAAGGTTTTGTTTGGTATTACTTTCTGCTCTTCAAATATTTCCTGAGAAGGCTGTTTCCCAGCAGAAGTGGAATTAAGAGAGTTCTCACGATAAGCCCTTTCATTGATCATCACTGAATTTTTGAGTTATTGTGCTCAAAATGGAAGTACACTTTCAGATTTGCTGGACTTGTGTTAAAACAAATTGGAAAATTTAGAGATATTTAGAATTATATCCCTATGTCCTTTTCACATGCCCTAGAAAAATTTACTTGTTACATAAACATTTCTTAATTTTTAAAAAAGACTTTATTTTTTTAAGTAGGCTCCACACCCAATGTGGGGCTTGAACTCATGACCCTGAGATCAAGAGTCACATGCTCTACCGACTGAGCCAGCCAGGTGCCCCATTCTTAAGGGATAAATCAAATATAATCAAGTGTTCTCTTTAATTAGATCTCTTGTTTTCCCAATACTCTATCATAGGTAGATCATACAATGTATTTTCCAAGTGTCTCTTATTACTGAAAAAGCAGTCTGTCCCCTGTAAGTACTCCCTGAGAACACCCATCCAAAGTCCCCTTGAAAAGCAAGTAAGAGCTGAGCATAACAGATACATGAGGTCCAGTTGTGTAAAAATCTTCAGTAGATAGCACACACGTGCATGTGTCTAAAGTGAAACCAGAGGTCCTTTGTGAAAACTGTGGCTGTTTTTCCCCTCTTGCCTCTTGCTTTTCTAAATGTGAGCAAAGATGAGATTTCTACTTAATATTTATGGGTCATCTTGTTTTTTTGTTTTTTTTATAAATACTTTTATAAGGGGGTAGGGACTGATTATAGGAGGATTTTCCATCAGGGAAGTGGGAAGGCCAAACACCTTGAAAAGCTGTATGAAGAATAAGACTAAGAAAAAAACCTGTACATCTGTAAACACCCGATGGAAAATGGTTCAAAAGAAACAGAAGGCACAAACTGCGGGTTAAAAAATGCTTGGAAAAGACTGCAACATAACTAGAGTTGACAGAACTAACACCGAGGTCTTCTAGAGTCTCGCCCTAAATACACTCACGTTAAGCTGCTTGAATATAACCGGCACCATGTTATTTCTCTGCACACCTACTTGCACAGTTGGGAAGAAGAAGAAAGCACAGTGACACTCCTTGATGCCTCAGAGCAAGTGTTTAGGACTGGGAAAGAACAAAGTGAAAACATGAAACCAAACACTCCATCCTCAGAACTACCACCTCTGGTTTTCATGTTTCTGGGAGGAAGTGAATTGATAAACGTGTTTTGTGGGTAGAAAACCAACCAACAAACAAAAATCATCATATAAGTCGGCAAAGTAATAACAAAGGGCTGGACTATATGGCCCCTTAACTTTATGAGCACATTTTAGGGCCAACTTGAGAGAAATTAGTAATATAACTTAATTTTAGCCCATATAAATTACAGTGGCCATCTGGATATTCAAACAGGAAAAGAGAACAAAATTTACAGAAGTAAAAACTTTTCTAAAGTAAACAAATGTATACTAGCAGAACTGAAAATTCATTAGAAGTTTCACTGTTTTTTAATCAGGCTCAGACGGAAATAAAAGTAGTCAATTTAAACCCCAACCTGGAAAGCCATCCCCGCTACGGCTGCGATTTCATCTTTCCAGCATCCTGCGACATTCATTTAGACAGAGGGCAACCGTCCACGTAAACAGTTCGATGTCCTGGTCCCCTGCTGTGGACCTGTGGCCGATGAAGATGGGAGCAGACGGACGGGAGACATTTAAACCTAAGGAAGCGACAGCAGCCTCTGGACACCTGTTGCTCAGGGCTTCCCATCGGGCAGCTCAGTGAGACTCTGGGGGGCAGGACTGGTGAAAGTAGAAAGCCATGAAGACATAGCTGTCTTTGCACTGGAAAAAGCTCCTCCAACAGACTGGCCTGGATGGAGAGGAGGGGAAAAACAAAAGCAAGAATGTCTTCACTTTTGTTAACAGACCATGAAAGACCAATGCTAATTAATGAACGTTAATTGACTGTAACATCAATATGTTAATAATTACTAAAATACCATTTAAATTTCTAGTTTCAAAACAATCCCTTTCTCTGCGTGTGTCTAGAAGGAAACTGGGTAACTTCTGGGAAAAGAGCCTCCTCTCCTAACCATTCTGAAGGTGCTCAGCCGACTCTTCCCTTACTACCCACCATGCTAGGCCATCGGTTCTCAGCACTGGCTGTGCATCAGAATCACTTGGGAGAGCCGAGAAGGAACTCTGTGCTCTCGGTAGCTTAAATCCAAGTTGATAACTGATGACCACCTCCACGGGGAATAGTGGTTAGGTTACTTTCAGGAACCGTGCTGTCATCTGAAACGTGATATTGCAATAAATGAAGATGCCAACTGCTCTATCTGCTTCAGGGCAGTTTTGTTTTAAGAAACCTCATCTCCAAAGTTGATGCTTAAGTGAAATTATTTAAGTTGAATTATATATTCCCACTATTCTTAGAGGGAGGGAGGGTGGAAAAGAACTGGTCTTAGAATGTAAATAGCAGCATCACTAAAAATGGAGTAACGATTGACAACATATAATGAAGGAGAATTTTTCTATTAAAAAATAAGAAGTCAAAAGAAGTTAAATGCATAATATTGTATGGAAATAAATGCTTACATATTAAATTCCATTCCCTGTAATGAAAGGAACCCACTGATGGGGCTATGTGCTCTGTTTGTCTTCTAAAGGGACGGGTCTGTAGACTACATATGTAGTTCACTCACCCTGTCTATCTCTAGCTACACAGAATGGTAGAACTAGGAGGCCTGCACAGAGATTCCCGAGGTCCAGGGCTTTTGAATTGTGTTCAGTAAGGGTTAGTCAACCTTTCTCAAAAGCTAAGGAAGGAGATGGCTCCTATTTTTACATACTGATATGACAAAGCAAATGTGGCAAAATGTATATAATTGGCAAATCTGAGATAACTGGGAGTTCCTTGCACACTGTTGCACCATTCAAGTTTGAAATTATGTAAAAAAAGGTAAAAATATAGAAAAGGAACGAGACTTTTTTTTAGAATTGATATGGAACACACTTCGAAGTTTTTTTTTTTCCCAAAGATTTTATTTATTTATTTGACAGAGAGAGACACAGTGAGAGAGGGAACACAAGCAGGGGGAGTGGGAGAGGGAGAAGCAGCCTCCCCACTTAGCAGGGAGCCCGATGTGAGGCTCGATCCCAGGACCCGGGGATCATGACCTGAGCCACCCAGGTGCCCCAACTTCAAAGTATTTTAACTGAAGAAAGCTAAGGGCAGAAGAACGTATACAACAGCATGATACCATTTCTGGCTTTGGTTCTCAGGGTAATACTGGCCACATTAAAAGAATTGGGGAGGGATACCTGGATGACTCAGCCGGTTAAGTGGCTGCCTTTGGCTCAGATCACGATCCTAAGGTCCTGGGATCGAGTCCTGCATTGGCTCTTTGCTCAGCGGGGAGCCTGCTTCTCCCTCTGCCTACCACTCCCCCTGCTTGTGCTCACTCTCTCTAATTAAAAATAATAATAATAATAAATAAAGAACTGGGGAGGGTTACACCTCATCCACTACTTTCTGAAAGAGTCTGTATAAAATTGGTATTATTCCTTAAATATTTGATAAATTTCATAAGTGAAGACATCTTGGCTTGGATTAAATTAAAAACCTGTGGCATGATTTTTAATTCAATTTATTTAATAGATATAGGGCTATTTAAATTTTGCATCAGTTTTGGCAATTTGAGTCTTTCAGAGAAAACTTGCATATTTCATCCAAATTGTCAAAAAAATTGGCATAAAGCTATTCACAATATTCCCTATAATACTTTTAATTTCTGTAAGATCTAGAGTGATGTCCCCTCTTCCATTCCTGATACTGGTAATTTGTATCTTTCATTAGCCTATAAAGGTTTTATTGATATTGTTAATCTTTTATTTTTTTATTTTTATTTATTTTTTTTAAAGATTTTATTTATTTGACAGAGAGAGACACAGTGAGAGAGGGAACACAAGCAGGGGGAGTGGGAGAGGGAGAAGCAGGCTTCCCGCAGAGCAGGGAGCCCGATGTGGGGCTCGATCCCAGGACCCTGAGATCATGACCTGAGCCGAAGGCAGACGCTTAACGGTTGAGCCACCCAGGCACCCCTGTATTGTTAATCTTTTAAAAAATGACCTGTTGGTTTCACTGATTTCCTTTATTTTATGATAATACCTTAGAAGACAGCACTCCTAATGCCTACTTTATTATGGTGCTCTACTACTTATAAAAAACTGCAGGCAGCTCAGGAAATGCTGAATCCTTGTAACAGAACAGTGAACACATCAGAAAATTGGTCTCTCCCCATCAGGTGTGGGAAAATTTGAACTTTGATATTATCTGATGTCATAAGAATTTTCATGAATAAGATGAAAACAAAATCTTTGTTTCAACCATCTTGTATTATTATATGATACACAGGTCTCTACAACTTTATGATTTTATCAACGACACAATGAGTACAGAGAAGAGATGTGTTATGATTCTAATCTGTTTCTCGCTAAAGGCATGTCTTACCAACAGCTTTTCCTGTTTGTACAACATTTCGGCTGGTTGTGACCATGACGTTTCCAATTTTTTTGCCACGTTCACTGTTTTGAACAGAACTGAGTAAAGCAAAGAAGTTTTAAGTACATTACAAAAATTCACACATACCACACCTTAGAACCACCCCCAAAATAGAATTATTGAGAAAAGAAGCTAAATTATTTGTCATGCATCAATTGATTTAGTAACCTTAAGCATGTAAACTTTCAGAAAATACTAAAATAACATGCAGATGAACCAAAAAAAGGCCATAAGGATGCACGGTTAATTCTCCCTACAGTGATGATTTGCTAAAGTTACTCCACCAGAATGAAAATGGCAAATTCTGTTATTAGTTCACACCATTCTCTATGAAACAGCAGTGTTTTCACTCTGAAACATACACACTGCTGAGCTGGAGAATGTCATGCACATATTTGGTTACTATTTGAAGCACAAGTCTATCAAGTGGAGACAAACAATTCCTAATTAGCAATGAAACACATGCCGTAAGCTCAGCCATAAAAATTTTCCTAGTTTTTTCTCTAAATACTCACTGTGAGAATCTTAACTTCATGTCTGACACGGAGTACTGGCCTTGAAAAGGATGACTGTAAAACAAAGTTGGAGACTGTTGGACTATGAGTATTTTACCAATAAAGCTGCAAAACAATGCTGTCACAAGAAGGATCAGTAAATCTTGCAGGGGTGACTCAGTTAGGTGGGGGTGTTCCGCACATGACAGCAGGCAAAGCGGCTTTGAGCACAGATCTTTACTTACAGTCTTGGGAGCCTCTTTGAACTTATTTCCTCCCTTGTAAAATAGGTGGTTTTTTTCTTGGAATGGGGGGTGAGAAAGAGGTTTACGTTGATGCTACACTAATGTTCTGATTTATCTGGTCTGGGGCTGGGCTGAAGCATCAATGTTTTTAAAAAGCTCCCCAGGATAGTCAGGATTAGTCACTACCTTAAGCCATGGCCATGGACTATACTTTGATTCTGGCCATCTTATAAATGCATGCTACTGGTCATCTGAAGATTTGTACTTTCTTTTTGAAAAGCAACTCAAAATGCAGGTCTTAAAAATGTACAAAAGGGAAGAAGTGTATGTGTGCATGCATACACACACACACACAAAATCAGGCAACTTGACCAAAGTCGTACCATAAAAGGAGTCAATAAATATTCACATTCTTATTACATCCTGAGAGGTCTCTCTCAATGTCTAACAAAAAAAGTGACCCTAGGGGCGCCTGGGTGGCTCAGTCGGTTAAGCGTCTGCCTTCGGCTCAGGTCATGATCCCAGGGTCCTGGGATCGAGCCCCACATCAGGCTCTCTGCTCAGCGGGAAGCCTGCTTCTCCCTCTCCCACTCTCCCTGCTTGTGTTCCCTCTCTTGCTGTCTCTCTGTCAAATAAATAAATAAAATCTTTAAAAAAAAAAGTGACCCTAATGAAATCTATAGCTTATTAAAACATCAAAATGCTATTTATGGCTTTTCAAAAGACAACAAATTTCCTTATTGGCCATATTAAGCATATGTAATTACTTTTTCTGGATTCCTGAATCACAGGTTGAAAGAACTGAGAGTACTTTTTTATTTTTAAAAATTTTATTGATTCGAGAGTGAGAGTGAGAATGAGAGAGCGAGTGAGTGTGTGCACGAGAGGGAGTAGGGTAAGAGGGAGAAGCAGACTCCACACTGAGCAGGGAGCTCAATGCGGGACTCAATCCTGGGACTCCAGAATCACGACCTGAGCAGAAGGCAGTTGCCCAACCAACTGAGCCACCCAGACGCCTGAACTGAGAGTACTTAATCATTCTTTATATTCCCTGTTTAAAGGATGAAGCATACCTGCTGTTTACTAAGGGAAGTTAGAGGATTGCCTTCTCTCCTCTTTTGGAGCTGGAGAAAGGGTTTCATAGATCTCAAATCTTAGTTTGGAATATGTCTAAGTTCTATCCCCTGATAACAAGTGAAGACTATTCATTTCTTGTTTTTAATTTGGTGAAAATAATGAAAAACTGCTATTATATCTGCATAATTTCCCTACCTATAAGTCTTTCTTCAGCTTTCTCTTCAATCTAAATAACCCCAATTTATTTACACATTTTTAAAAGTACCGTTTTACAATCCTTTAAAACCCATTCCAGCTAAGCCTCTTATGAACCTGCATTAAAATCTACAGAGCTGGTTCAAGTTAAAGGCACCACCGCAGATGCAGAGACTGGATGAAGATCTGACCAGGTTATCAGTACAGAACACTGGGGGAAGAGACCGGATGGCCTTGTAGGCCACACTGTGGATGGTTGAGGTGGACCCTCACTCCCCACCACCCTCATCACAGTGAGGGCCACCAGGCAAACAAACTCACATCTGTTTTCCTTCATCACTCTTTAAAACACAGACCTTGTGGTTAGTGAGGGAGAATACTTTGAACTCTTAGCTCTTTCATTTAATACTATTAAGATATTTTTGTCTTTTAATTCTCTATGTTTTTACCACATTCAAATGCCAAATAGAGGTTTCTGCTATAGTCTAGTGTGATGATTAAATTCACCAAAATTGTTGCTGAACCTAGTCATTTTTCTTGATAGATGATATAAAGTTTAACAGACATGTTCTTTAAAACCCTGCTATACTTCATCCTTGCAGATGCTTCCCCAAGTTACTATGACATAAATATCTGGATTCTGTGTGTGTGTGTGTGTGTGTGTGTAGAGAGAGAGGGAATATTCTTTAAGGCACCACTTAAATCACATCCCCAGTCTAGCTAGTTAATCCCAGCTCCCAAATAATACAGTAATTAGTACAAAGCTGGTTTTTGTCTGACTCTCACCAAGTTTAAAACACAAATGAAAACAAACATTCAGTATATACTTGTATCATTAAAAAAAATCATTTTCATCATTTAATTTAGAAAAGAAGTCCTTAGGATGTACAGTAGTTACCTTATCTGCAGAGGACACATTCTGAGACCCCCAATGGATGCCTGAAACCACAGACAGTACCAAACCCTATATAATATACTATGTTTTTTTCCTATATATACACATACTACAATAAAGTTTAATTTATAAATCAGGCACAGCATGAGATTAAAAACAGTAACTAATGATAAAATACAATTATAGCAATACACTGTAATAAAAGTTATGTGAATGTAGTCTTTCTCTCTCTCTGAAATATCTTACTGCACTGTACTCACCCTTCCTCTTCTTGTGATGATATGGGATGGTAAAATGCCTAGTGATGAGATGAAGGGAGGTGAAGGACGTTAAGTATTATGATGTAGCATTAGGTTACTACCGACCTTCTGATGACACGTCACAAAAAGGATCATTTGCTTCAGGACTGCGGTTGACCCCAAGGAACTGAAACCGCGAAGAAGGGGAGGGGTACTACGTACACATTCTATCAATGGAGAGATCTCCTTAGATTCTACTCTGTTCCATTCAAACAAGACAGCATTGCTTCATAACGGCCCCACTCACCACATGTTTAAATGTCTTTTATGCCTACATGGATAAAGTCTGTTAACATTCAGTATTGTGACAGGTATTAAATTTTGTTGGATTTTAGAATCTGAGTTGGAAACTAGGTTTCACCACATATCTAGGAGTTCAAATATCAACTTTAGTTTTTTCACACTTCACGTTTTAAAATAACCTCTCAGTCTCAGCCAGTGGTATTTCCTTCAAGATTTCTATCTTGTTTGACCCTTCTGCTAAAGTACAGATCCAGGGAAAGGGAGAGAACTATCATGTACTGAGCATTGCCATGTGCCAGACTTCCTCTTCTGAATTATGCCAAGAGCTGGGAGAAATGTTAATCCTTCCAAAAATGTCTTGAGCTTTTTGTGTAAGCGTAAGAACAGGGAAGCAGTTTTCAGCTGCTTCTCTGTATTTGGGATTTTATAATCTACTTAAGGAGATTTTTGGAGATATTCACGTTGTCATCAAAGTTAAGATACCATCTTCTTTATATTGGGGCATACTTAGTAAATCAACCATGTTATATACTATCAATCCTCAGAGGATGTGCTTACTTTGGATTTATTTCTGCAAGTGCCGGATGCTTGTTGCTGTTCCACACCCTGTAGTTGTGAGTATTCTTCCATGCTGTAACAAAGGTTGTCCCATAGTCCGATAATATCTTTTCATTATCTGTCAAGTAAATATTTGAAAGTTGAGCTGGACTGTAGCTAGTCAGGGATGTGAAGATTCATAACCAAAAAACCAAAACCAAGGAATGGCTTTAACCCCCCTACCCCCATGCTTTTTGGAGGAGATAGCCTACCAGATATCAGGAAACTTGGGTCTAGTTCCAGAAATCCTGTTAAGAAGCTATGTGGCCTTTGGCAAGTCACTTAATCACTCAGAACTTCATTTTCCTAACCAGAAAATAAGAGGGTTGAGCCAGATATATTCTAAGGTTCCTTACAATTCCAAAATATTTCCACGTTCTCCTTACCAAGGTTAGGAGGCATAGTATTACTTATTAAACAAAAACTGTAGACTGTGCAGGGAGTAAATATATTGATGTATATACATATGGAGTAGGCAACAGAGCACTTTCTAGCTTTTCACAAATGTTATATTTCTATGAAAAAAATCAGAATGAATACATGAATTGGTTCTTTTAGTCACTGTTTTTTCTTCTTAGGACTTTAACTATTTGATGAAACTCACTCTTTAATCTCCATGCATTTCACCATCAAAATACTTAAATAACAAAGGAATTTTCATATATAATGTTGAAAACTTTTCGGCTTTTTCATTATCATGAGGAAGCTTTAATGCAGAGCACTTCTGCTTGGAAGAATAGAAAAGGTTTGGAGAACAGATACAAATGGCTTTTGCTTCATATACTTATTGTAAGTTGCCTGCTTTGAAGGTGAAACAGGACTTTTGTTGATGGGAAAGGAAGAGGATACACATGACTCTAAGTGCAACATAAGGAACTTCTCTTAAGAATGTATTCCTCAAACAGCTCCCTAGGCTGAATCTCCTTTGGAACAGCAGCATGGGTCTGAGCCAGATTATCTGAATTTGAATCACAGCTCAGCCTCGACCAGAGGGATGAGCAAGCTATTTAACCTTTCTGTGCCTCAGTGCCTCTCCTGTAAAATGAAGAGGACATGGTCTCTACCTCCAGAATTGTTGTGAAGATGAAATTAGTAGAAATAAAGTGCTCAAAACAAAACAGGTCCCTGTACATATGTTCCAAAAAAAAAGGCTAGTCACTATTATTATTCAGGATTTACAGCTACCTAGGCAAATATGTTTAAAAGTAAATTACTCATGAAACTAACATGACTGGTGGAGACTGGGGTTTTCTTCCTAGATTACTGAATGATTTTGAACTACACATTTAATCTTGGTGTCTCAGCTGTTACATCTGTAGAAGAGGCGAGATATTTAAAAATATCCCATTAACAAATAAGGACTTGCTCCAGAGCTTTCCTTTACAAATGAAGCACACACGCAAAGCCTGGCTTTCAAACGCCATGCACACTTCATGAAGAACTAAGCTAGGAGGGGGCTGTACTGACAGGACAGTGTGAGTGCACTTACTGCTACTGGGGAACTACGTACTTGTAAACGGTTAAGATGGTACATTTTAGGTTATGTGTACTTCACCACATTTTTAATAACTTCCCCCAAACAATGGTAGAGATAATTGGGAAAAAAAAAAAAAAAAAGGAAAAACAACAGCTCAACACTTAACAACAACAACCTACTAAGTATTTGCTACATGTCCACGGTGGTAGACAACCACATGCAAAAGCTCACTGTAAAGCTTCATTTTCTCTTTTTATAGATTTCGTTCCCTATGGGGGAATGAAATGTTAATTTAATACAGGAGTGAGTCTATCTTTACCTGCTCTATTTTAACCATTTAATAGGAACAGGATTTCTGAGAATGGAAAACTTGAAGACATCACTTGGAATGTGATTTCCAGTGATTTCTTTCATATTTCTTTTCTCCCTTTACATATCTTAAAAACATGTAAGCAATGTTTATAAATAGCCCCCAGATACTGACACATCCTTCCTTCCACATGGTCCTTGGGAACACTAAGCAGCCATGTAAAAGTGAGCTGCATTTACGGTCTCGATTGTTTTTCTTTATAATAGAAACATAAGTTTCAAAAATCATTTGGAATGGGATCCATTTTTGTAAAAGGATCACCACAAATACCACAAAACTAAAATCCAAAACATACATAGAAAAAGGTCTGGAAAGATATAAAGTACTCAAAATGCTAAGAGCAGTTATCTCTGTATGCGGGAGTAACAGATAATTTTATAATGAAAATGTCTTTCTTATGCAATTCAAAACCTCATAAAGATTACAAAAGGAAAAAGCAGCCGTGCTCCTTACCTAACTGCAGTGTGGCAGCCAGCAGCGCGTGGATGTAGACTGCAAACTGGGCTCGGATCCATTCGTCACCTCCCTCCCAGCCTGTGCCATCCAGGAAGACATCATCCCGGTTCTCCGTGACGTGCCTCACTAGGTAATCTGCGAACCTGAGGTCTGCAGTGGTTGGGTTAAGCAGCTTCCTGAGTTCTGGATCATGGATCTGGATCAGAGCTTCTTCTACCTAGAGGGTACCCAGGTACAAGTCAGAGTCTGGGCATTCACACTGACATCCATGCCATACTTTAAAGAGTAACTACTGGGAAGTTGAAGCTGAAAATAAAAAATATGAATAACAGCATTCTCAAAAAGTGAGGCTAAGAGACAGGTTTTTACACTGAAGTTTTTTTCTATCTCTATTCGAAAAATCCTCATTTTGTTTTTAGAAAATATATGCATAAATATTTTATTTTGAATTATAAAAGTAACTGTTGACTGTAAATATCTTGGAAAACAGAAAGGTATAGTAAAAATCACCTTTGTCACACAACCAGAAATAAATTAGTAATTATAATTCCAAAAAATTATTGAGTTCACAGATACCTTGGAATATCTTATTATGTAACATTTGATATACAAAGAGAGCTAATGTAACCTACAGGTTAATTTTGAAGTAATATACACATACCTACGAACCCGCCACCCACCAACTTTAAAAGTAGAACGTAACCAGTAATGTTGAGGCAACTCTGGGGTCCCTCCATCTGTATGCTCTGCCTTGGAAGGTATGACCTATTTTAATTCCTCAAAACTGGGATCCCAGATTTTTCATTTACGATACTATAAACATTTCCCCACAAAGTATGTTTTGGTACTTTCTATTAGAAACTATAAAAACCTAGGGTGGGTGAAATTTCCTTTTTTTCTTTTTTTAATTACTTCAATTGTAAAACTAAATACAATTTAAATTTCTCATATGTTGATGTCAAATATTTATCTGTAGCTCCTTCCTCCTGATATCAGGAGCATATTAAATAGGCTAGAAGTATTGAAAATATTTAAACAATAAACACATTTTAATTATGAGATCACAGTAGGACCAGACTGTCTGGCTTGCAACCCAGCTCACCCACTAACTAGCCGTTTCATCTCTCTGCTCCTCAGCTTCCGCACGTGTAAGATATGAATAGCAACAATGCCCACCTCACAGGCTGTTAGAATCAGGTCAGTTAATATACCTCAGGTGCAAAGAATGCCTGGCACAGGAATTTTTACCTTTATTAGTGTTATTTCTATGCTGTCAGAATTCCAGTTAAGAAAGAAAGACAGGGACCAGCAGTGTCAAGGACACGTGCTCATACATAAGCCCACCTCCACAATGGCATCACTGAGGTGCTTCTGCTGGCGGAAAAGGATGTTAGTAGCCCCAGCAACGAATCCACGGACGGTGACGTCAGAGAGAAGATGATGCTGCTGCAATGCCATGTAAGGCAAACACAGATATCCCTAAGAATCGTAAGAGTGAGAGACAACATCAGAAAAGTAACAGGACAGCCACCTCTCTCTCCAAGCCTAGAGAGCTAAGAAGGAAAGGAAACTTCCGAACCCGGCCCACTGCTGTACCATCTCTGACTCACTACAGTACTATTCCAGGGGAACCTCACATCTTGACTGCACTGAGGCCAGTTAATTGCTCCCCTTTTCCACGAGTGGTGGTCTAACATGAAAATTGTCTCATTTCATCATTTTGTTCTCAGTTCAGCTTAAAAGCTTCCACAATGACTAAGGAACTGGAGTTTTTCATTTGGGAAGTGATGATTTAAGCCCATGAAATAGTACGCTATTTAGTAGAAAGCTGTTAGTTCTTTCAGAAAAATTTGAAAAAACATAACCACCAGCATACTGTTATGAGAATAGCAAAGCACTGCATGGCATTTGTTTTACTGCCCCATTGTTAAAAATCCTGCAAAATATTTCAAGACATTTGCTATTAAATGTTTAAGGCAAAAAAAAAAAAAAAAAAAAAGACACTAGCAATAGCTGTATAGTTAACTTCTATTTGAAAATACTGCCCTGAAAATTATAGTTGAATTGCCAAACCACAGCAGGCAGTTAAGTGTACAAAAAGCAGCATATTTCCCGAGAATAAAGGCATTAACACTTCAAAGACGCATTGAAGGAGGATATGGCACTTTTGCTGGAAGATTCTAAATCAAGACAGATTTCCAATAGGTGGCACAACTTGTATATACAGCCAGGAGGGCACACTAGTTGAAACCCTGACCTTTTTTTCAATCTCAAGTCCTGTGACAATTTTATTTTTTTACTTCTCATCACTTAAGAAAAAAACAAACCACTGAACTAGATAGCGTTCTCTGGATGATGTGTTATCTATATCACGAGACAAATCTGTGAGTGTAGGAGACCTCTCTTTTGCTATTTCATGTTCTTCATCACTGTATCCGAGAACATGCGTTGTACCTAACAGGTGGTTGTTAAATACTTGATATGGGAGAGAAGACTTCCAAAAGTTGGAAGACAGGTCCAGTAACCTGGTTTTATTCTTTTCCTTGATAGTATCTTTCTCTGTTCAATAAAATGCTAACCAACAGAGGCAGGAAAAATAAACCCGTGTCGGGCGCATGGGTGGCTCAGTCGGTTGAGCGGCTGCCTTCAGCTCAGGTCATGATCCCGGGGTCCTGGGATGGAGCCCCGCATCGGGCTCTGTGCTTGGTTCGGAGCCTGCTTCTCCCTCTGCCTCTGCCTGCCGCTCTGCCTACTTGTGCCCTATCTCTCTGTCAAATACATAAATAAAATCTTAAAAAAAAACCCAAAAAACAAAAAACCCGTGTCTATGCATTAGAGATACTCAGTACAGTGCTTCTCAACCCATGACCCTCTTGGGACTAAAGACTGAAAAGACCCCTGCTCCTCATTCAGCATCACTCAGCTGCTTTAAGGCTCAGGGTTCATGCTTTACTTTGTGAGCTATGTACTAAAAAACAATAGACTCCCCCTGCCCCCCAGGTACCTATTTCTAAATATAAATATTATAATATTGAATGTTCTTTATATGTTATAACAGCACAAAAACTAGTGTTTTTAAAAATCAACACTTTTTAAAAATATAAAAAAGGACATTTCTTAAAAATATATACATATGCTCTTTGACCAGCATTCTACTTCTTATAATTTATCCAGGTACACCTGCTCATGTGTAAGATTTGTAAAGAGTTATTTATTGCATTGTTTATTATAGCAAAAGATTGGAATCCTAACTATTCATGAGTGGGGAACTGAGTAAATTGCTCATCTGTACAGTGGAACATCCAGCAGCAATAAAGAGTGATGAAATTAACTTCCAAGAATATTTGGTAAGAAAGAATAAGAGGTTTAAAAGTAGGGAGGGATGCCTGGGTGGCTCAGTTGGTTAAGCGCCTGCCTTCAGCTTAGGTCATGATCCTAGGGTTCTGGGATTGAGTCCCGCATCCAGCTCCTTGCTCAGCAGGCAGCCTGCTTCTCCCTCTGCCCCTCCCCCCTGCTTGCGCTTTCTCTCTCTGGCAAATAAATAAATAAACTCTTAAAAAAAAAAAAAAGTGGGGAATAGTCTCCTACCATTTGTGTATAAAAGGAGGGGGAAAATATCTACATATTTGTGTATGTATAAAATACCCCCAGAGAAAAACAGAAGACAATGGGGCACCTGGGTGGCTCAGTCGTTAAGTGGCTGCCTTCGGCTCAGGTCATGATCCCAGGGTCCTGGGATCGAGCCCTGCATCGGGCTCCCTGCTCAGAGGGAAGCCTGCTTCTCCCTCTCCATTCCCCCTGCTTGTGTTCCTTCTCTCGCTGTGTCTCTCTCTGTCAAATAAATAAATAAAATCTTTAAAAAAAACCAACAACACAAAAAAACAGAAGACATTGATAATGCTGGTTACCACTGGAGGAGAGGGCACCTGAGTAGCAGGGGATGGAATGAGAGGGAGACTTTTTTTTATAGATGCTTTAGAATCTTTTGAATATTGAGCCATGTGAAAGTATTACATATGTGTATATATATATATACATTTTTAAAGATTTTATTTATTTGATACAGAGAGACAGCAAGAGAGGGAACACAAGCAGGGGGAGTGGGAGAAGCAGGCTTCCCGTGGAGCAGGGAGCCCGATGCAGGGCTCAATCCCAGGACCCTGGGATCATGACCTGAGCCCAAGGCAGATGCTCAACGACTGAGCCATCCAGGCACCCCAAAAATATTACATATTTATAAAATTAAGAGTTCAAAATGGCCTTAAAATTGTGTCAGTTACTTTTTTAAAAAACTGTAGTATATATATATTTTAAAGATTTTTATTTATTCATTTGAGAGAGAGAGAGAGCATGAGCCAAGGGGAGGTGGGGGAGAGGGAGAAGCGGACTCCCTGCTGAGCAGGGAGCCCAATGCGGGGCTTGATCCCAGGACCGCAGGATCATGACCTGAATCAAAGGCAGACACCCAACCGACTCAGCCACCCAGGAGTCCTGTGTCATACTTTTAATGATAATCTATTTTTCCTAAATCTTTTAAAGTTCCTTATTGTATGGTAGCAGCAAGAGCACGGGTCCTTTCACATAAAACAGCCTCCATACCCAAGCCCACTTCTGACTTTTCACTTTTGTAGGGTACTTTAATTTCCATATTTGGAGCTGTAGTATATAATAGTAAAAAAAACAAAACAAAAGAAAAAAAACCCCCCAAACCCAAAAAACGCCTGAAACAGTATTTGCACACCCATCTTCAAAGCAGCAGCATTCACAATAGCCAAGGCGTGGAAGCAACCCAAATGTCCACTGACAGACGAATGGATAAACAAAGTGTGATATATACATACACCAGAATATTATTCAGCCTTGAAAAGGATGGAAATGACCTATGTTACAGCATGGATGAACCCTGAGAACATTATGTTAAGTTAAACAGGCAGTCACAAAAAGATTAATAATGTATGATTCCACTTAAAAAGGTGTTTAGAGTTGTTAGATTCATAGAAACAGAAAGGGTAGTGTCCAGGGGTAGGGGGAATGGGTAGTTATTGTTTAATGGTTATAGAGTTTCAGTTCAAGATGAGCAACTTCAGATCTACAGCACACCGATGTGAACGTTACTTAACACTACTAAACCGTACGCTTAAAAATGGTAAACGAGGCGGGGCGTCTGGGTGGCTCAGTCGGTTAAATGGCTGACTCCTGCTTTTGGTTCAGGTCATGATCTCTGGGTCATGAGATGGAGCTCTGTGTCTGGCTAATGCACTGGGCGTGGAGCCTGCTTAAGATTCTGTCTCTCCCTCTCCCTCTGCCCCTCCCCTCCTTTAAAAAAAAAATGGTAAACAGGGTAAATTTTATACACCCACACACAAACACATTTTTTTAACCGCAACTAAAAAACAAAAAACCCACACCTCAGCTTGGTAAATCTAGCAAATCTGTCATGAGCTAAGCTGCTAAAGAGCTGCAAAAGCACAGTGTGCTTCTCTCTTGTGCCTTGGAAAGGGCTACAGTGTGATCAGGACTGGATGCCATTTTCTCACCTCTCCTTTGGTCGGGGATGGTAAACATGTTCATGAAATGGAAGCCTCCCTGTTACAGGGATGTCCCTTTTCTCCATAAGTTATCTGGGGTTTAAAGGTAATCCCTATCAAAATCTCAACCTGTGTGAGAACTTAAAATTGATCCTAAAATGATGTGGAAATGAAAAGGGCTAAGAAATGCTTAAGGATGAGTAACAAGAGGCAAAGCCTTTTTTCTGCCTGATAGGATATACATACAGGGGGGAACTGCCCCAGGATGGACAAATATACAAATCTACAATATCAATGAAACAACAAGAAAGAGTCCAGAAAGACTCCTTCCTCAAACATACACAGAGATTAATTCCAGTTAATAAAAACCAAACTGTGAAAGTCAAAACTATATAGCTTTAAAAGATAACCTAGGACCTCAAGGTAGGGGGGACTGCTTAAATATGACCTCCAAGGCACTAACCATAAAGTAAAAAATGATAAACAGAAAAGGTATTTAGAATATATTAAGTCCCACAAATCAGTGACAAGGAGGACAATCCAGAAGTTTTGAACAAATACCACACAAAGGGGAATCCAAATGGTTAACAAGAATATGGAAAGATATCAATCTCAACAATAATTACTGAAAAAAAAGCAAACCAAGAGCCACAAGATATTAACAAATTGGCTAAATATTAAGAAGTCTGACAATATCAAGTGGTGAGAATGCTGAGCAGTTGGGAACTCATACCCTGTTGTGGGAATGGTGGAAATTGTCAGAACCACTTCAGTAAACAACTGGGAATTCTAGTCAAGCTGAAAGCACCCATTCCACATGATCCAGTATTCCTGCTTTTAGGTACTGAATGCTATAGAAACTCTGGCATGTGTCTAGCAAGACTCCTGAAAAAGAATTTCATAGCAGCATTATTTGTATAGCCAGAAATTGGCAACAATGCAGACGTCCATCCACACAATTGATAAGCTGCACAACAGCTGAAAATGGAAAACTACATAGAATATACAGTATTATGCAAAAACATGAATGAAACTAAAAACTATGTCAAGAGAAAAAAAATTTGTGGTTCCACTTAAATAAGATTCATAAACATGCATCCATAACTTTTTGGCTAGCCAATCAAGGTAGCTTTGATAACCTAAATTTGAAAATGACAAGCTGCTGGGAGCCTGCTTCACCCTCTCCCACTCCCCCTGCTTGTGTTCCCTCTCTTGCTGTCTCTCTCCCTGTCAAATAAATAATCTTAAAAAAAGAAAAAAAAGAAAATGACAAGCTGCAAGCAAGCAAACCAAATATAAACTCAGAAGCAATACTTAAAGGAGATTAATAAATGTGGCAGATCAAAAATTCTGGTTTCTAACTACATATATTTTTAATTTTTTCATAAATTTATTGTTTTACTAAAAAAGTTACAAACTGAAATTAAGATTTCTAAATTAACTGATCTTCTTATGGAGACATTTATTTTAAACACCAAAGGTATCAGATATATGTAATTAAAAAAAGAAACCAAAAAACAAAAACAAAAAACTGGGGCACCTCAGTGGCTCAGTTGGTTGAGCATCTGACTCTTGGTTTCGGCTCAAGTCATAATCTCAGGGTCATGGGATCAAGCCCCATGTGGGGCCCCACACTAAGTGCAGAGTCTGCCTGAGATTCTTTCCCCCTCCCTCCCCCTTCTGTTCCTCACCCACCCCCTCCACTCACACTCTTGCTCTCTAAGATAAATAAGTAAAATCTTTTTTTTTTTTTTTAAGATTTTATTTATTTATTTGAGACAGAGAATGAGAGAGAGAGAGCACATGAGAGGGGGTAGGGTCAGAGGCAGAAGCAGGCTCCCTGCCCAGCAGGGAGCCCGATGCGGGACTCGATCCAGGGACTCCAGGATCATGACCTGAGCCGAAGGCAGTCGCTTAACCAACTGAGCCACCCAGGCGCCCAAATAAGTAAAATCTTTAAAAACAAAAACCAAAACAACAAAACTAAGAAGCTAATCTTTAAAAAAAAAAAAAAAAGGTAAAAAATTCAAAAATAATTTTTTTAGTGACTGCTTAAAATCATCTTCCCTATCCCTCAGATACTAAAAATAAAAATCCTTTTATTCAGTTAAGAGTTACTTCAATTTAGGTGACTTTTCATCAGAGTTTCATTCATGGTAAGATCCAACTAATTTTTATCAAATAATAAATATTGCCTCATACCTGGAAGAGAGGAGGCAGAAGCAGACTCATGAGATTAAAACAAGTGGGAACCTTAACTCCCAGGGCTCTAGGCCTTCTGGCTGGTCCTGCTGTAATTGCTTTGCTCCAGTGTGTGGCCAATTCCAGGACTCTTTCAGTAGTAAGGTAGGAAGATTTAAAATCAGGGAAAGACCTAAGAAAAGCCTTCAGGACTCTTCCATATCTGAAAATAGCTACCCCAACTTCTGCTTTTGCTTTTTTCCATTTCCCTCATTCTCCAACATTTCTCTACTTCTAAAGTGGTACAGTCCAGCAGAGCACACATACCACATAGGAGAGTTTTCTAATTTTCCTCCTCCTCCTTTGGTTCCCCCTAGTTCCTTCTCTTCATCTTATGGGCATTGTACCCGAAAGCTGCCTCTCCCCTCTGCACCCCAGTTTCTTCCCTACACTTCCTAAATCAGCTCTCAGGATAGGTTCAAGCGTATTTTAGCATCTGGTATCTACAGCACTCAGGAAGCTTTAAAACTGACATGAAAGGCATCATCCTCTAGTAATTTCAAGTACCAGAGAGAAGACTGGAAAAGCTGGAGAGCTGGAGCATCTCTTCGAGACTTAAATGTTTTCTTATGTATAAATTTGTTTCTATTTATTCATACACTGAATCAGGGGACCAGTCAGCTTATCATTCTCTTCAAGGCTCAATATCCTACCTTTAACAATATTCTCCAGGCACCCCCTAGCTTCTATTTTTAAAATTACTTTTAAGCTGTTTGCTAACCTAATTTCTTCTGTATTAAGTGCTTTATGATCTTCAAGAGAAAAAAAAAAAAGCCTGAAGACGATTCACTTTTAAGAATATTGTGTCAATTATATTTTAATTAAAAAAGGAATATTTCATACTCCAAAGTTAATGACAAAAAAGAACCAGCACTTGTATTTACAACTGTGATTGAATAACAAATTGGATTTTATTTATTTATTTATTTATTTATTTATTTATTTATTTATTTAAAGATTTTATTTATTTATTTATTTGAGAGAGAGAGAGAGAGAAACAGCATGAGAGGGGATAGGGTCAGAGGGAGAAGCAGGCTCCCCGCCGAGCCGGGAGCCCGATGCGGGACTCGATCCCAGGACTCCGGGATCATGACCTGAGCCGAAGGCAGTCGCTTAACCAACTGAGCCACCCAGGCGCCCCAACAAATTGGATTTTAATCAGTACATAATAAAACATAAAACCAAAAAGAAAAACATTTTATTTACCATAATGATGGTGGTAAGTCCATCATACATTCAGCAGTGGTATAATGCACACAAATAGAACATTCTGCCAAACATGGTTTATAGGCAGCCACCAAAATATGTTTACATTGCTTTAATTCAGCAACCTCACAGACAAAAATAAAATCCCTCCCGTTAATCGCCCTCTTAATAGCTCCACATGATAAAAATTGGAGGGTGGGTGGGTAAAGCTTCAACAAGTATAAGTAGTCCCAACACCCACATGTGAGTTCAGAAAACCTGTAACTGGTGGCTACTAAGCATAAGCAGCAGTTTGAGTCCTGAGTTTTCTCCCTAGGTTTCTAAATCCCAGTTTTAAGAAACTGTGCATTAGTTCAATCATAAAACAAATTAAGATAATTTCAGAGTCCCCCAGCAGGCCACAAAATGAACAAAGCATTCTCTGTTAACTATTCATCAATACTGACTTGGGGCAAATACTTATTTGTAGAGCTGGATAAACCCAGGAAGAATTTATCATAGAGGAAGAAATACATGTTCCAATCAACACTACCCATCTTTCTTTTCCATATAAAGTCTTACTTCATGCATAAAGGACAGTATTTAGAGAAAACCATAAAACTGTGCTCTAGTTAACCAGAAAGATGTATCTGTCTTTCATGGCAGACTGCAAGATCATGGATATAAGAATTTAGAAATTAGTATGGTACCTGGCATATGTGACACTAAGGTCGCAGATAACTATAGCACTATACATTATGTATTTTACAGTTTTCAAGGATAATTTTCAGACCTGAAAATGTGTTCAACACTGCCAAGTTAAATTCTACAAGAGTTGTCAGGGGGCACCTGGGTGGCTCAGTCAGTTGAGCGTCCAACTCTTGGTTTCAGCTCAGGCCATGATCTCATGGGTCGTGAGATTGAGCCCCGTCTCGGGCTCCACGCTCAATGGGGAGTCTACTTGAAGATTATTTCCCTCTGCCCCTCCACCTACTCTCTCTCTCTCAGAAAAATAAATAAATCTTAAAATAAATAAATAAAAGGATGGTCAGATTCTTTAAGGGTCTCAATAAGGAACACTAGGGGCATCTGGGTGCTCAGTTGGTTAAGCGTCCAATTCTTGATTTCAGCTCAGGTCATGATCTCAGGGTTGTGAGATCGAGCCCCACACTGGGGTCCTGGCTTGGTGGAGAGTCTGCTCGAGATTCTCTCTCTCTCCCTCTCTCTCTGCCCCTCTCCCCGTTCGTATGTGCACTAACAAATAAATCTTTGAAAAAAAAAGAGCAAACACTAAACTTTACCTTTGTGAAGATGGCCAGGGGCATGCCATATTGGTCTTCTTCCAGACCGGAAATTAGCCCTGGTACCAGGACCACCTGGCCCGTATTAGCTTGAGGTTGTACAGTAATCGGAGGACTGTCTGAGGGCACAGACTCCTTTGGAAAAGAGTTTGTCTGTTCTGACCCCATCTGTTCCCTTTCTTTCAAGGTGGGGTCCTCTAAGACGCTAGGATCCAAGGTCTCCCAGTCACTTTCTGAAGACTCTGGAGATGGGCGAGAAGGAGGTTTCAAATATTGACTGGTTTCACTGGGTTCCTGAACTTTGCTGTCATCGTCTACTTGGAGCAACGGTTCTTGAAGGTTGATGCCAGCATCTCCTCCATGGTTTCCTGTCATGATTTTCTTAACAGTTCCTGAGTTGGTATTTGAAATGTCAGGAGCAGACACAGAAACAAAATCATCTGCAGGGAGATTGCTTTCGTGAAGCGCAGCATCTTCAGACATACTCTTTCGGGGTCTGTACTGAGAACAGTCACTGAGACCATGTTCAATCATGCCTACAACATACAATATTGGAGAACAGCTTGGCTTACAATAAGGTGGGAAAAGATAAGAGCTGCATATTCCATTCTAACTAGAACTCTCCTATAAAAATTTTAGTAAGTTATGCTTGCACACGTTTTAATTAAAAAAAAAAAAAAAGAAAAAAAGAAAAATCTCATACAAAAGAGAGAAACCCAATGCCAAAAGAAAAATCATGTTAAAATAGAAATGTTATCCGTAGCAAGTTTATCCTTAAAATTTTTTATCACTCAAAGTTCCAGTACAAGTTAAATGAAAGAAAGAGTAGATACTGTTACCCTCCTACCTGGAAAAAGGGATAACACAGTCATCAGGGCACCCACCAATTTATTCACTGGAGAAATATAAAAGAGAACCTGAAATGGATTAAATCAAAATTAAATTAGAAAATCCATGAGTCTACAACATAAAAAAAAGGTGGGGGGAGATATAGAGAAGGAAAACTACTTCTTTACAGAAGAATAACAGCTAATATAGCATTAATGAAAGAATCAAAGAAATCACCAAGCATCTACCATGATTCAGTTAAAAATTACCAATGGAAGCTACAGCTACTATGAAAAGTTACTGGGCAACAGGATATTCACATAGCTTCAAATTTATCATCCCACAGATTAGCTATTAGTTGCGAAGGGAAACACAAGTACCTCATTATGAAGAAATCTGGGGACTACCACTTTAACCAAATGATCAAGTTTCACATCACCAATAATACTACAGACAGTTATGGACCTCCTGGTATGATAATTCTGAGAAGGACACACCTGTATAGTACTCTTGCCACAGAAATTTAATCTGAAACTACCCAAAAGAAAATAATCGGACAAATCTAATCTTATAACTTGTTTGTATTCTTTTTTTTTTTTTTTTTAAAGATTTTATTTATTTATTTGACAGAGACAGAGATAGGGAGAGCAGGAACACAAGCAGCAGGAGGGGGAGAGGGAGAAGCAGGCTTCCCCCCGAGGAGGGAGCCCGATGTGGGACTCGATCCCAGGACCCTGGGATCATGACCTGAGCCGAAGGCAGACGCTTAACGACTGAGCCACCCAGGCGCCCAACTTGTTTGTATTCTTAAAAAAAAAAAAAAAAAAAAAAGCCAATGCCATGAAAAACAAAAAGAAACCAAAAAAACAGCAAGGTGGTAGAGCAGTTTGAGATTAAAGGATTAAAGAGAACTATAAGGCAATACATGATGCTTGGTCCCCAGAGTGAAAGAAACAACCAGTTTATAGGACATTATTATAACACCCGAGGAAATGTGAAAATGGTATTTTGGTTATATGGGAATATACTCTTATTCTTAAGAAATACATCCTGGGGGGCGCCTGGGTGGCTCAGTTGGTTAAGCGACTGCCTTCGGCTCAGGTCATCATCCTGGAGTCCTGGGATCGAGTCCCACATCGGGCTCCCGGCTCGGCGGGGAGTCTGCTTCTCCCTCTGACCCTATCCCCTCTCATGCTGTTTCTCTCTCTCTCTCAAATAAATAAATAAAATCGAAAGGAAAGAAAGAAAGAAAGAAAGGAAAGAAAGAAAGGAAAGAAAGGAAAGAAAGGAAAGAAAGAAAGGAAAGAAAGGAAAGAAAGGAAAGAAAGAAAGGAAAGAAAGGAAAGAAAGAAAGGAAAGAAAGAAAGAAAGAAAGAAAGAAAGAAAGAAAGAAAGAAAGAAAGAAAGACATCCTGGGGCGCCTGGGTGGCTCAATTGGTTAAGTATCTGCCTTTGGCTCAGGTCTTGATCCCAGGGTCCTGGGATGGAACCCCATGTCAGACTCCCTGCTCAGCGCAGAGCCTACCTCTCTGGGGAGCCTGCTTCTCCTCACTTGTTCTAGTCTATCAAATAAATAAATAAAATCTTTAAAAGAAAAAAGAAAAAAAGAAATATACCCTGAAGTTTTTAGGGGTAAAATACCATGATTTTTAAATTATTAGGATTCAGGGGGGGAAATGAACATATATAAAGCAATATAATGCAAAAGTGGCAAAATGTTAATCGTCAATACAGATCAAGTATGTAAAAGTTCATTATAGTATTCTATCAACTTTTCTGTAGGTTTGACATTTTTCAGAATAAAACTTGAGAAAAAAAATCAGAAACAGGATTAGATGTTTAAAAGCGACACTTGGTAATCATTAAATTACTTGAAAAAAGCAAAGATTTGCTTAGGTGAGTTTTTTTTTCTTTTTTAAACAATTAAATCATTTAGTTACACTGAAGTGCTATTGGATACAGCATAGCACCCACAATTGTCTATGCTTTCCTTATAGATGATCTTACTTAAGGAGTGCTTTCCAAGTACAGAGAAACCAAGTGTTGCATTAAAGGACATCCTTATTTCATCAAATCAATATTAAAAGAGTGTACCTGTGATCTGCCACATTAGATAAAGTTATATGATCAGAAATGCCACTACATGTAGCTAGGCTAAGTACTATTTTGGAAGACTTTTGTTTCAGATACATATATCTATGTGTGCCCTGGGTTGCAATGTAAAATACTTTTTATTATGAACTGCAATAACAAAGTTTGAAACCTACAACTCAAAAAAAAAAAAAATCCAAAAAATCTGATTAAAATGGGCAAAGGACGTGAACAGACATTTCTTCAAGGAAGACATACAAATGACTAACAAGCACATGAAAAGGTGCTCAACATTACTAAGCATTAGGGAAATGCAAATCAAAACCAGGAGATACCACCTCACACCTATTAGGATGGCTACTATCAAAAAACTAAAAAACAACAAGTGTTGGTAAGGATGTAGAGACACTGGAATCCTTGCACACTGTTGACAGGAAGGTAAAATGGTGCAGCCACTATGGAAAACAGTATGGTGGTTACTCAAAAAAAAAAAAAAAAAAAAAAAAATTAAAAACAGAATTACCGTCTGGTCCAGCAATACCACTTCTGGGTATACACCCAGAAGAATTGGAGGCAGGGTCTTGAAGAAATGTATGCATACCAACGTTCATAGTAGCATTATTCATGAGAGCCAAAAGGTGGAAGCAACCCATCAAAGGACAAAAGGTTAAAAAAAATATGGTACGTACATACAATGGATGTTACTCAGCCCTTTTTAAAAAGGAAGGAAATTCTGACACATGTTATACATGGATCAGCCTCAAGGACACTATGCTTAGTAAAACAAGCCAGTCACAAAAAGACAAATACAGCACGATTTCACTTGTATAAGGAACTCAGAGTAGCCAAATTCATAGACATAGTAAGTAGAAGGGTCGCTGTCAGTGGGGAGGGGAAAATGGGGAGTTACTGTATTAATAGGTACAGTTTTAGTTTTGCACAATGAAGAGTCTATGAATGGATGGTGATGATAGCACAACAATGTGAATGTACTTAATGCCACTCAACTATACACTAAAAACTGGTTAAGATGGTAAATTATGTGTCTTGTGTATTTTACAACAATTAAAAACTTTTTAAAAAGTTACAACATTGCACATATGGTATGTTAGATTCATTCATTTAAAAAATTACATGTTTCTCTTTGAAGAAGAAATACATATTCATTACAGAAAACTAGAAGAGTATTTCCTTCTTAAAAATATAACCTAGGGTCACTTGGGTGGCTCAATCAGTAAAGTGTCTGACTCTTGTTTTGGCTCAGATCATGATCTCGGGGTCTTGAGACCGAGCCCTGTGTCGGGCTCTGAGCTCAGTGCGGAGTCGGCTTGAGATTCTTTCTCTCCCCCTCTCCTTCTGCCCTTTCCCCTGCTGACGCTCTAAATAAATAAATATATATATATATAACCTATATTCTCAAATTGATGATATCTGGGGTGCCTGGGTGGCTCAGTCGTTAAGTGTCTGCCTTCAGCTCAGGTCATGATCCCAGGGTCCTACTTGTGCTCTCTGTCAAATAAATAAATAAAATCTTTAAAAACAAAACAAAACAAAAACTGTTGATATCTTTCCTTCCAGTCTCTTTTTAATGAATATATATTTATTTATAAAATTGGGATCATGGGCTTGATATGTACTTTGATAAACTTTCACTTAACATTCAATGAAACATCTTTACAACATTAAAAATATCTCAGAATCTCTTTAGTCATTTGGAATTATATACAATATACAAGATGAACCAGTACTTATTCACTGATAATTCATTATTATAAATTATTCTGTGACAGAATGCCTTAGGTGGACTTTGTGTCTAACTCACATTAATTCTGGAAAATAAATCTCTAAGAGAACTACTGGGCCAAAGGAATAAATATTTTTAAGGTAACAAACCATACTGGACATTATAAATGGCTGACTTTAGAACATCTATTTCACCCCTACTCCACTCAGCACAGTAATATGGTATATAAAACTGGCCCCAGATCCAAGGGCAGCTCCTGATTAGTCTAACCCAGAGGTCAGCAAACTTTTTCTATAAAGGGTCAAATACTAAGAATCCTTCCTTTGCAGGCGATATATATGGTCTCTGTCACAACTATTCAACTCTGCCCCTATAGTGCAAAAGCAGCAATAAGCAGTAAGGAGATGAATGGGTATAATTGTGTTTAAATAAAACTTTATAAAAATAGATGGTGGGCCAGATTTGGCCTTGGGGCCTAGTTTGTACACTCTTGGTCTAAAATCACGGCAAACCAATCTTTTTGTACTAGAGAATGGTCTGGAACCCAAGTTTAAACCAACTAGTATTATGTACTTCTTTGGCAACAATTATTTGTTCACTCCAGGCACATGGCCTCACGGGTTTAAACAAATTGCAAAGGAAGATTCTTATTAAATGGTTTGGGAATAGGTATTATTTCTACCACCAACACCAATTATTTTTAAGATTTTATTGATTGAAGATTTTATTCATTTATTTCAGAAAGAGAGAGCGTGCACTAGCAAGCAGGGGGAGGTACACAGAGAGAGGGTGAGGGAGAGGGACAAGCAGACTCTCTGTGCTGAGCACAGAGTCCAACAGGGGGACTAGATCCCATGACCTTGCGATTACGACCTGAACCGAAATCAAGAGTCGGCCACTTAACTGAAATCAAGAGTCGGCCGTTTAACTGACTGAGCCACCAGGCACCCCAATTTATTTATTTATTTTAGGGAGAGAGAGAGAGCACATGTGCCAGTGAGGGGAGGGGCAGTGGGTGAGGCTCTCAAGCAGACTCCCCACTCTTCATGGAGCCTAACCCAGGGCTGGATCTCACAACCCTGAGATCATGACCTGAGCCAAAATCAAGAGTCTAACACTCAACCGACTGAGCCACCCAGACACCCCTCTACCACCAGTTATAACTGAGAGAGCATACAGACCAATTATTGTTGGCGGTTTACCTACACTACAAGGGAAACCAGACACAGGATAAAGCTAGCACTGCAGACTGTGGAGCAAAGAGATGAAAAAAATCTCAATACTTAATTATACTGTAGAACCATTCAATCAATCAGCCATGAAGTCTGCAGTAACCCAATACATTTCATTATTATTTAAGTCTGTTTAAATTGGTTACTGTCAAATTGCCCCTAGAGAAGACTACACGAATTTATACTTCGGTGGTAGTGAATAAGAATATGTGCTTCAGGGGCGCCTGGGTGGCTCAGTTGGTTAAGCGACTGCCTTCGGCTCAGGTCATGATCCTGGAGTCCCGGGATCGAGTCCCACATCAGGCTCCCTGCTCAGGAGGGAGTCTGCTTCTCCCTCTGACCCTCCTCCCTCTCATGCTCTCGGTCTCTCTCTCAAATACATAAAATCTTAAAAAAAAAAAAAAAAAGAATATGTGCTTCAGTCTACCAAAATATGACAGGCAAAAAAAATCTTCATTTATACTTTACCATTAGTTTTAATTTTATATAGTATTTAAGAAATGTCAATACATGTTAAATATTCCATTCCCTCAAATCTCACCTTTTTTTCAAGAAGAATTAGTTTAAACAGGATTAAGACCTAAAGAAAAAATACTGCATTAAAATAAACTCAAGCCTATTATTCATTTGCCTCTTCCCTTCCTCAAACATAACCATATATCATTTAATCAATAATATTAACTATAGTGCTTAAAACTACATTGAAAATTAGGAACTTATACTGAAAAATTAAAAATGATGCATTAATTAAGAACCACTTAAATCTCAAACAAATTATGCTTTTTGGAAGGAGTTATGTTATTTTTGCTTGAAATATCTGCAAGCTCCTTCAAGGGCAGGGACTATTCATTTGTTTCTGGATGTCCAGGGCATTCACACAGCAGATACTCAATAAATGTGTGTACATGAATGATTAATGTGTGTATGTCCCAGTCAACATATGTTTAATAATAAAGATCAGAAGACATAAGTATAATATTTTATTAGAAAATGTTTCACTCTCAGAGCAACATATAAACTACTCTGCAAGATTAAAACATGTTCCTTTCCACTCTAATTTCATGACATCTGAAATTACAAAGACAACAGAAAAAGTATCCTTTTCTGCACAGAAATAGACAGTATTCCTATACTTTTAAAAACTTCTATAAGCTCTACCAACATTTTCAACTTTTATCATTATGAGAACGGTCTTAGAAGAACTAAAATATGGTATGCCACAATCTGTATTGGACCTTGTAGCATATAGAATTTGCTCAGTTAAATGAACACAATTTTAGTACATTATAAATTAAATAAGGTATCATACCTTGTGTCGAAAATGAAGCACAAGATCTCGAGGAGATAGACCTACAACGTTAACAAAAAAGCTAATCTGTGATGACAACCCATGGGTTTTGTCAAAGAAAGTTTCTTCCCATCAAAGAAAAGGTAGGTAAAAATAGGAATAGAAGAATATGCAAATACTAAAATATTTACATAATACTTGATTATGTACACATATACTTGGAATTTATTAAATAACTGTTAATGGTCAAAGACAGCATGGTCCAAAAGAACTTCCTACAATAATGGAAATGTTCTAAATCTGCTTTGTCCAATCCAGTAGCCACATGTGACCAATGAACATTTGAAATGTAGCAAATGTATTCACAAAATGACTTTTTAACTTTATTTAACTTTTATTAATTCTAATCTAAATGTAAATAGCCACATGAGGCTAATGGCTACTTTATTAGTTTCTCATCATGAAAAGGATATTTATTGAGTGCCTATTGAGTACCTTGGACACCAATGAATATTCTGGATTATCAAAACAGTATAAATCAAACAAAACCCCCAACTTGAAAAATTTTAGGATAGAAAAGAGCTGAGCAAATCTCTCTCTCTTGCTCTTCCTCTCTGTTTTAACAGGGAATTGACCTGGCCAGCCTAACCATAAGAAAAAGAAAAAACTTCCGTTATTATTCTGAAAAGCAGAAATTTGCTTTTCAGAATAATAGAATTAATAGAATAATAGTTCTAAATACTGCTACAATTATGTTATAACCTTTCTCAATAGAAATAAATACTGGCTAAGAAGATATGTAAGGGAACAGCAACATCAAACATTGAAGAATTTAAATTTAGATCCCATACAGAAATTTAACTTTATGAAGTTTTATATGCAACTTGGTTTACCAAACGTGAAGAAATGAGAGCATTTCTTCTGATTTGTAGAAAAGCTACTTACCAAGATATACTTGGGATCCTTCTAATGAAGTTCCTCCCAAGGAACTATTCATATGCTCATAAAGCTCCTATAAAATATAAATTCAATTTAGAACATTTTACAATCATTTCTGACACGAAATTAGAAGTATGATGACCAGGAAAAAATTGGTTCTTTAACCGAGGCAGTTTGTTTCGCCAGTAACAATGAAGGTCTCTCTGAAACCTTACCAGTTTCCAGCACTCCCTCCTTCTCTTCCTCTTCATTTTAAAAGCTTAGTTCACTCACATGGTGGTACGGATTCTAGGCTAAGTTCCCTCTACTTTCTTGCTAAACACCTAATTGTCCTATACTCACTAAAATCCAGGAGAGATCCATGTTCCATACAGTCATGGCAGCCCAAAGAAAAACATGCTATCCATCTTTAGTAACACAGTCATGTAGTCTGGTTGTGTTTTGTTTTTTGATTTGGGAGATTGGAACCAGAAGACTGATAAACATATTGTGCAGTATATTAATAAGACAAGCAAATTTAGAGAAGCAATGCCACAGCAAAAGAGCTACCACCCATTAATAGAAACACATTAATTATAGTCCTTTGTAGTCATTATTTCCTAATAAAAGGCAGTTTGGTTAAATTTAATAAATATCAACTGTACATTTTGGACAGATCCTTCGCCTTTCAATGTGATTTCCTTTTCTTTTTTCAATTTGCAAATCTTTGTTTTTTTTTCCTTTTAAATTTTTATTTAAATTCTAGTTAACATACAGTGGAATATTGGTTTCAGGAGAATTCAATGATTCATCACTTACATGCAACATCCAGGGCTCATCACAAGTGCCCTCCTATATACCCGGCGCCCATCTAGCACATCCCCCACCCACCTCCCTCCATCAACCCTCAGCAGATTATTTTCTATCCTTGAAAGTCTCTTATGGTTTGTTTCCCTCTCTCCCTTTTTTCCCCCTCCCCTTTCCATATGTTCATTTGTTTTGCTTCTTAAATTCCACATATGAATGAAATCATATGGTATTTGTCTTTCTGACTTCTTTTGCTTAGCATAATACACTCTAGCTCCATGCATGTTGTTGCAAATGGCAAGATTTCATACCACATCTTCTTTATCCATTCATTAGTCGATGACACTTGGGCTCTTTCCACAGTTTGGCTATTGTTGATAATGCTGCTATAAACACTGGGGTGTACGCACCCCTTCAAATCTGTATTTATGTATCCTTTGGATAAATAAGTAGTAGTGCAATTCCTGGATCATAGTAGGGTCAATGTTACTGTCAAAGAAGAATGTCTTTCTTAAGCTAACAAGATTATCTTCCAAAATATTACTGACAAGATTAATTGATTCATGAATCTGTTTTCAGCCAAATATATCTATAGAGGGATATAGTTACCTTTAGAATGGAAATTTGGGAAAAATCCTTCTCTTCAAAATATGCATGTGTAATGAGCTGAAGTTTTGCTTGAAGCAAGCCATAGAGAGGCTAAAAAAAAAAAAAATACCATTAGTTGGATAATAGTAAAAAACAAACATCTTACAACTTTGTAATTGAAAGAACAGGGAGAAAAACGAACTTCAACTTTAGTATCTTATCCACAGCTAAAAGCTGTTATATCACCTGGTCCAGCTCTATGGCTGCGGTCGAAAAGAGCCTGACACACTTGGAGTACAGTGGTTGAGAGGTGGGCACAGACCCCCTGGATCCGCTCTATCACTCAGCCACATAACCCCAGGCACTGAACCTCTCCACATTTGCTTGCTGATGTGCACACTGGCATATGAAAAGACAGCACATCTTATGGCGTTGTTTCCAGAACTAAGTAACACAGGTAAAAGCACTCAGAGTGTCTGGCACATGGAAAGCACCTAAACGTTAGCTATTATAAAATTTAAAACATTCTGGGCGCCTGGGTGGCTCAGTTGGTTGAGCGACTGCCTTCGGCTCAGGTCATGATCCTGGAGTCCCTGGATCGAGTCCCGCATCGGGCTCCCTGCTCGGTGGGGAGCCTGCTTCTCCCTCTGACCCTCCCCCCTCTCATGTGCTCTCTCTCATTCTCTCTCTCAAATAAATAAATAAAATCTTTAAAAAAAAAAAAAATTTAAAACATTCTAATTCTGCACTGTTCTGCTGGTTTGTGATGACCCTTAATCATCCTTATAACAGCCAGTTCTTATATCTAGTTGAACATTCATAATTAAATTTAAGTTCATTTCCTTTTTTTGTCCTCTATGGAGGCTTGGAACAACTAGTCTGTGTCCTTTATCAAAATATTCTTTCGTATACTTCAACAAAATTATTCCTTAATTCTTTTTTTAACTTAAGACCCTCTTCTACTATTTCCATCCTTTATTTTCGGTGTTCTTTTCTAGATGTTTCCTGATTTCTGTGTCCTTCTTAGAATGCAGAAACCATGCTATATATATACTCTAATTAATTAAAACAAGTAATACCAGAAGAGCTCCCCCCACCAATATCCCTGTTAATGCATCATTATTACCATCTAAAGATCTAAGTATAATATTTTATATATTTTAAATATATATTTTATATATATTTTCATATATTTTATATATAAAGACTACAATGCACTATGAACCACCAAACTCTTTTGCGTGAGCTAGCTCTCCTTATCCCCTATGCTGTTTAAAGATAGATAAAACTGGATTTTCACCCCCAATTTTATCACTTAATAGGTTTATGAGAGATATTTTTTTCTCTCATACATCTTTATTTGTAAAATGAGAGCAATAAATACTTAGATCTCACTGTTTTATGAGGATTCAAATGACAGTTATATCTAAAAAGAGTCTGGTATAGAATTAACACCTGACATATAGGGACCTGATGAATGGCATTTATTATAATTATAATTGTTCTTTGAAGAAAGATTACTCAGAAAGTCTTTTAACATGTCACACTTGCTTTAATATCTGGTACTCCTATACTCTGATCATCTGGCCCAGTATAAAAAAGTATTCACTGATGTCTATTTTTCAGGCTACCCTTCTAGAAACTATCTAGGTGCAATCTACCAATGTTCTGATATCGGGGTCTTTTACAACCTTGTTTTTTCAAGGAGTCTATTCTTGCCCTCTATTTAAAATTATGATCTTGGGAGCAATATCTGACCCTCAAAATCTTTTTTTTTTTTTTTGAAGATTTTATTTATTTATTTGACAGAGAGAGAGACAGCGAGAGAGGGAACACAAGCAGGGGGAGAGGGAGAAGCAGGCCTCCCGTTGAGCAGGGAGCCCGATGTGGGGTTTGATCCCAGGACCCTGGGGTCATGATCTGAGCCGAAGGCAGATGCTTAACGACTGAGCCACCCAGGTGCCCTCAATATCTTATTATTATGGCCCACAGTATAAATTATTATTATCCAGAATTTTTTATTTTTTATTTATTTTATTATTTTTTTAATAAAGATTTTTTATTTATTTATTTGAGAGAGAGAATGAGAGACAGCGCGAGAGGGAAGAGGGTCAGAGGGAGAAGCAGACCCCCTGCCGAGCAGGGAGCCCGATGCGGGACTCGATCCTGGGACTCCAGGATCATGACCTGAGCCGAAGGCAGTCGCTTAACCAACTGAGCCACCCAGGCACCCCTATCCAGAATTTTTTTAAAAAGATTTTATTTATGGGCGCCTGGGTGACTCAGATGGTTAAGCGTCTGCCTTCGGCTCAGGTCATGATCCCGGGGTCCCGGGATCGAGTCCCACATCAGGCTCCCGGCTCAGCGGGGAGCCTGCTTCTCCCTCTGACCCTCTCCTCTCTCATGCTGTTTCTCTCTCGCTCGCTCTCTAAAAAATAAAATCTTTAAAAAAAAAAAAAAGATTTTATTTATTTGAGAGAGTGCAAGAGCACGAGCAAGAGAGAGATCGAGAGAGCGAGCGAGGTGAGGAACAGTGGGAGAAGCAGGTCCTCTGCTGAGCAGGGAGCCTGACGTGGGGCTCGATCCCAGGACTCTGGGATCATGACCTGAACCAAAGGCAGCTGCTTAACCGACTGAGCCACCCAGGTGCCCCTATTCAGTACTTTTTTAAGCTTAGTAGTAAAAGCCAAATAAGTCCTACTTTGCAAAATTCAACAAATATTAAGCAAACTACATTTAAATTGTCTGTGGATATAAGAAACTGGACAAGGCAGGGGCACCTAGGTGGCTCAGTCTGTTAAGCATCTGCCTCCAGCTCGGGTCATGATCTTAGGGTCCTGGGATTGAGCCCTGCGTCGGGTTCCCTACTTAGTGGGGAGTCTGTTTTTCTCTCCCCCTTTCCTTCTGCACCCCACCCCTCGTGCTCACTGTCTCTCAAATGGATAAGATCTTAAAAACTAAAAATAAAAAAGAAAGTGGACAATGCAGAAGAAATAATTAAACAAAACCTACATACATGTGGTGACTAGGCAAATGAAATATTCTCCATTTTGATTTAGGTTAAATGCAGAAACGTTTGTATTCAGTAATCATACCGCTATAAGAGAATTAATATGATAGAGATCTGGATTTTTCCCCACAAAGGAGATTTGGGAGATTATATTTACATGTAGAATTAGTCATTTGGTGTTATTGGTAAAGGTGTTATTCTCCCATTAATTAAAAAAAAAAATTACAAATGATTGAACGAAGAGCTATGAAAAATAAGAAACGTTATATATTTTCTTCAAAAAATAAAGTTAAAATTATACACTTGCATCTGATCAAACTGTACATAGATGAAACAATTTTAAAGTATTGTTATTGTACAATTCATTGTCATTTCTGTTCCTCAAAAATTTTTAAAAGATTTTATCTATTTTTTTTTTAAGATTTTATTTATTCATTTGAGACACAGAGATAGAGAGAGCATGAGTAGGGAGAGAGGCAGAGGGAGAGGGAGAAGCAGGCTCCCCGCTGAGCCAGGAGCCCTATGTGGGGCTCGATCCCAGGACCCTGGGATCATGACCTGAGCCAAAGGCAGACGCTTAACCATCTGAGCCAGGCGCCCCAAGATTTTATTTTTTAGAGAGAGCAAGAGCACGCCCACACGAGCAGGGGGAGGGGGAAAGGGAGAGAGAGAATCCCAAGCTGACTTCCTGCTGAGCACAGAGCCTGACGCTGAGCTCAACCTCACAACTCTGAGATCATGACCTGAGCTGAAATCAAGAGTCAGAAGCTTAACTGACTGAGCCACCCCAGGTGTCCCCAAATTTTAAGTTTTTAAAGAGCAAGTTAAGGTTACCATTTTTCATAGCAAAAGTCATGTACTTTTATATCATCAATAAAATCTAGCGATTATGATATTTTGAGTTTCAGTAATATATTATTTATCCAAAGTCTTAAAAATAAAAATGGATAAATGAAATATATTAGCTACCTCATTTTGGTCAAGTGTCAACCTCTTTTCCAAATACCTAGCTAGGAGATTTCCTTTGTCTTATCTAGTTGTGGGTAGAGGTGCAAATGAGAGTAAAACTGCTGGAAGGCAAAGAGAAAGAGGAGATGCACAAGTATAAATAAGAGCCCCTAATGAATTTTAATCTATTACTGTTTCCATAAATCTCTCCTTATTCTAATAATGCCTTATTCTCAAGTAAAAATCTGACACGAATATTTAACAAACACATTAACAAGTTATTTGGTCTCTTACCAACTTGCTTAGAACACAGACACTTTTCTGAACAGTCTCTCTGGTGATATCTGCTTGCCGTACTTTCAATGCCTATGTAAACAGTCATCATTAGAAATATTGCATAGAAATATTTAAAAATTATCTTTCAATATAAAAATAGCAGTGAGACAGAAAAAATTTCTTACATTTAGTTAAACTCCAAATTTATTGAGAATCTCAGAAAATATTTATTGAATGAGTCAGCCAGGAAACTTTGTGCCAGAATCTGGTAGGCACTAGGAATGTAACCATGAGAGATAATCCCTACTCTCAAGGAATTTACTGTATGATGGAGAATACTTTATGTGTAAGTTGCCACACCCATAATGCAAATCAAATGTCCTTGATTCTCTTTTGAAAATGGGCATCCTTTCAGAGACTACTGTTCCTGGTGAGAAGGGGCTAGTTTAAAACTCCCAAGACAGAAGAACTGGCAACAGTTTTGTTAAGGTGGTTCTATGCTGCCTGGAGTTTATCCTGGCAAAATAGTATTGTAGACCAGCCCTGAGCCATAACTCATGCCTTGATGATTCTGAGGATGACCACATGAGATGTCTATAGCTCTCTGCTAGTAAGGAACAAGCGTTCATTTGATCAACCTCAGATAATTCTGTGAAGAAAGTAAGAACTATTCTTCCCCTCTGTAGTGTACTGCCTGACATTTCTTTGGACCTGTCTTGAGGACCAAGGGGCCTCAGTGTCTTCAAATGACTGATGACTGACGACCAGTCATTAAACTAGGTCAAGAATAGAGCCTTCCTTCAATCTGTTTTCTACCTCTCTGCCTTGATTGGATTCATCTATCAGGTCTCACTTTCATTCAAAGGGAATCAGTCTTTTTCCTACGTTCTAGGTCCTTTGGATACCTATCTTATCATCCCTCTGGTTATCAGGTAAGGATAGAAAAATTTGGAGAAAATGGCAACCTCAATATACTGTGGAGTGGGTCAGACCCAAGGGGTGAGGAAGACAGGCAGTATGAAATGCCACTTAAAGGCTATGCAGAGCACGACAACTGTTGTTAGTGTTGACAGCTCTGGAGAATTTTACTAGTGTTTACACAACCTAGAGGGGATAAGAGTAAAAGGAACAGATTTCCAAGAAAGTGGTGGGGGCAACTCAGTTCATCTCATAGAAATGTACATTAAGGGTAACAGTAATATGAAGCAATCAAATGTACAAAGCTATCAGGCTAACTCTTACTCTCAGGTTTATCTCTATCTTTAAATTCAGATATTCATTCTGTAAATATTTACTAGGTGTGTCCTACATTCCAGGCCCTGTGCATGAAGGGCTGTTTCAAGTAGTTAACTGCTTTGGGTATGGTGGAATTTGTACCTGCAGTTTACTTTGAAATGGTTCAGGGAAAAACACAGACACACACACAAAGCTGACATTTGTTGAATCTAGACGGTGGGCATACAGGTGTTCATCATACAATTCTTTTATCTGCATGTTTGAAATGGTCATTAAAAAAAGCTAATGAAAATTTTAAAAGATTAACTTAATTATTCACCTGAGGAAGCTTTTAAAACTTATAATTGCCTAGGCCCTACTCCCAGAGATTCTAATTTAGTCACAGCAAAAGGAAAGGCCAGGAATGTATTTAAAGGAAGGAATGGAATGGAATGGAAAGGAGAAAGGAGAGGAAAGGAAAGGAAAGTCTCCAAGTAATTCTGGTTAAAAATCACTGTTTTAGAGCAGTGGTTTGCAATCTTGGCTACATATTGGAATCACCTGAGGAGCTTTTAAAACTCCTGAGAACCAGAACATTAAATCAGAATCTCTGGGGTTGGGACCCAGGCCTTTCTAGTATTTAAAGCTCTCCAGGTGACTCCAATGTATAGTTGAAGTTGAGAAACACTCACTACTTTAGAGTACTAATGATGTCATGATAGGCAAGAGATTTTTACTCAGAGTGTCTTCACCACAAAAAAACCAGTGCTGCTCAGAAGCAAACCATATGAAAGGGGAAGCTACCCATCTTGGCTTATGTGAATTTATTAACTAGAGTTATTATAGTAATTCAGGAATTAAGCTGGCAGGTAATTTAAGAATTAACAAAATCTTAGTTGTGGATAATTAAGATAACGTGCAAGTATTTAAAAACTACTACAAGTACTATCCCCTAATTCTAAACAGCTGCTTAAAGAACAACATACATTATCACTTCTTTTTTCTAAATTATATACCAAACACTAGAAAAAGAAAATTCAAGGACACTATAAAGTTTAAATACAGTATTTTGAAGGCAAATGGATAATTTAGGTATCACTATATAAAATCAATGGACAAAATATTTTATGGTAATTATAGTTACCCATGTCAACTTACAAAAACATTCATGTGAATAAACTGGTACTATTGGGAAAATAACTGCAAATTGTTTATAAAAATCTAAAATAATACCAGTGTTTTTTTGTTGTTGTTCACTGTAACTACCATACCTTGGCTTCAATCTGTCGATAACAGGAGATACCATACACTGTGGCTCCGTTTCCATTTCTGGGTGGCAAGTGAAAAAACACCGTATCTAAGAGATACACAGAAAAATGTAAATACCAAAGTGAATTACCCTTATTAATAAATAATGTAAACTGAAGTATTATAATACAGTTAATTACAACCAAAATGATGATGTAACAAGGAACCCATGTCATACCTACTTCTAGCCTCACAACCACTGGTTTCTTAGAATCCATCTTACTGCCTTACCATGTACATTCATTCATGCACATTCTCAAAAAGCCCAAGGGGCTGAATTATAACAGGTTAAAATTGAAACTACAACCACTTATCTCAGAAAATACTTAATCAAACCATAAGAGACTCTTAATCACAGGAAACAAACTGAGGGTTGCTGGAGGGGGGCCGGGTGGGGGGATGGGGTAACTGGGTGATGGACATTAAGGAGGGCACATGATATAATGAACACTCGGTATAAGACTGATGAGTCACTGACCTTTACCTCTGAAACGAATAATACATGTTAATTAACTGAATTTAAATTTAAAAAATTAAAAGGAAAATATTTTATTTCAGATTAAAAGAGGTAGAGAATCATACAAACAAAAGGAAACACATGAATCTTGGATAGATCCAAGAAATTCCTGGAATAACTGGAGAAATTTGAACATAGATTACATATTAGATATATTCAAATTACTGTTAAATCTCTTAGCTGTCATTATGGTACTGGAAGTTATCCTGAGGAATAATCTTACTCTTAGGAGTGCATGCTGAAGTATTTAGAGGTAAACTGTCATAGTGTCTACAACATGGTGTTAGACTTTCAAATAGGAGAGGCAAAACTGTACACACACATAAATATAAAGAAAATTTGTGGGATATTCACTATACTATTCTTTCAACTTTTCTGTATGTTTAAAAGCTTTCAGGGGCGCCTGGGTGGCTCAGTCGTTAAGTGTCTGCCTTCGGCTCAGGTCATGATCCCAGGGTCCTGGGATCGAGTCCCGCATCGGGCTCCCTGCTCCGCGGGAGGCCTGCTTCTCCCTCTCCCACTCCCCCTGCTTGTGTTCCCTCTCTCGCTGTCTATCTCTCTCTCTCTGTCAAATAAATAAAATCTTTAAAAAACAAAGCTTTCATAATAAAAAAGTTAGGAAGAAAAGGTTTGCAAGGTTAAAAATAATGTATTTAAATTTTACACTAAACTGCATAGTAACATTTGCTTCATTTCATATGAAAATTATTAAGTATAAGGAAAAGAGGTAATTAAACCAAGTTTAATCTGGTGTTTTGGTAGAGTCCATGCCATAATAAAACGTCCTTTGTTGAGCCAAAGCACTCATTTATAGGGTCATAGGAGACTCAGTAGTAATTCAGCATTGCTTTTTCTCTGAGGGTGTTAACATGTTCCTCTTATATGCAAACTTTTTTTACACCCGACATGGGGCTTGAACTTACAACCCCAAGATCAAGAGTCTCACGCTCTACCAACTAAGCCAGCCAGCCACCCCTTACATGTAAACTTTTAAGCAGAGCACTGCAAGAGCAGTGGCTCCAGGGGTGGAGAAGCAATCCCAGGTGGGCATTGGAGTACTAACCTAGTAAGTTTGCAGCTAGAGCCCTAGTCAATTGGTAGCCAGTACAGGTAAGCCCTTTAGTTTCCCTCTGAGAGGAGTCTGAGGTATGAATGTAGGAAGTGCTACCAGCAGCAGATGTCCTAATCTGGCCACTTACTTTGGCCAGGACTCCTGGCAAAAGAGTGGCCAACGTTCACTAACATTACCAACATAAGCCCAGCACTCCTCTGGAAATCTTCCAGTGCATGACTAGTCATCCCCAAACAAGCATTTAAAATATTTTATGAATAGTCACAAGAAGCCAAAGGCCTTTGATTTACCAAAATACTTAGAATCTAAGATGTCTTGGTAAATTAAAAAAAAAAAAAGCATCTACTAATTGTTCCATTGTTTACATACCTTCCTGGTAGTTGTGTGCACCATCTGGTAAGGCAAGGAAGGGCAGATACTTCCATTCTTCAGGTAAAGTGTGGCTGTCGTGTCCATCTCCTGGAATCAGGGGCGGGTAAGAGAATTCAACCTAAAATAGTAAGCAATGTTAGCCAAAAGGTTTTACCATGATCAAAGGGAGCATTTTGCCTATCAGGATAGGCAAAAATACTGTAAAAACACTTTTTTAAAAAAAAGATTTTATTTATTTATTTGACAGAGAGAGAGCCACAGCGAGAGAGGGAACACAGCAGAGGGAGTGGGAGAGGGAGAAGCAGGCTTCCCGCCGAGCAGGGAGCCCGATGCGGGGCTCGATCCCAGGACCCTGGGATCATGACCTGAGCTGAAGGCAGATGCTTAACGACTGAGCCACCCAGGCGCGCCACAAAAATACTTTTTTTAAGAAAGATTTTTTTTTTATTTGAGAGAGCTCAATTGAGAGCATGCGCAAGTGGGGGGAGGGGCAGAGGGAGAAGAAGGAAGAATTAAATGCATGGGACTTGGATTATCATATTGACTTATAAGTTCTAGGTGATTTACATTTAATTTTCTTTCAAAATATATTCATGCAGGAATTTATACTGCAATAGTAATAATATACAGTTGCTCCCTGAACACAGTTTTCAACCACATAGGCCCACATACAGGTAAATTTTAATACAGTACAGTATGTAATATATTTTCCCTTCTGTATGATTTTCTTAACATTTTCTTTAGCTTACTTTATTGTAAGAATACAGTATATGATACAAATAACATCCAAAATATGTATTAATCAACTGTTCATGTTATCAGTGAGGCTTCCAGTCAACAGGCTATTAGTAAAGTTTTGGGGGAGTCAAAAATTATACATGCCATCTCTAAGCCCCACATTGTTCGAGGGTCAACTGTATACACTAAAGTTGGAATCTGAGATTAAGAATCACTTTTAGATCCTACCTTTAATGTGGAGAGATATGAGGCTCATCTTCCCACACCTCAATGGAATGAATCAAGCTGCCACTTGAGTCACATGAGAATTATAAAAGGGCTTTTTTTTTTTTTAAAGATTTTATTTATTTATTTGAGAGAGAGAATGAGATAGAGAGAGAGCATGAGAGGGGGAAGGTCAGAGGGAGAAGCAGACTCCCTGATGCGGGACTCGATCCCGGGACTCCAGCCAGGATCATGACACGAGCCGAAGGCAGTCGCTTAACCAGCTGAGCCACCCAGGCGCCCTATAAAAGGGCTTTAAAAATGATTTTTTGAATAGGTGACCTAGTTCCATATTTACAATCTTTAAAGATACTAAGAAGGACTATACACTAAGAAGACTCCCTCTCACCCTTTACACTACCACTCTGGCCACCCAGTCATCTTCCTGCCCCTACCTTCAGAAGCCACCACTGTTTTCAGTTTGAAAGGATATTTAAAAGGTTTGAGTTATGGATGGAATAACTTTTCTCTCAGAGATCAGTCATTTAAGATCAGTTAGCTAAAGGCTGAGTACAGATAATCCCAAATTACATTTCGCATTTCTCTATCTTTTTTATGTATCACAGAGATTTCACATATTGTGTGGAGGAAAGTAGAATGTGACAAAGAGGTAATGGAGACTTATTCAAAGCTGATACTATGAAGCTGGTAGTTACAAAGTTTAAAAAAGAAAACAAACCCCAATTCGGAATTACTTCAACACCAAGAAAAAACAAAACAAAACAAAACCTAGAAACAAGGAAATAAATTATTGTGTTTTATGTAATCAACAACAAAGCCCAATATACACTTACTGATTAAGAAGTCTTGGTAATTATTACAACATGTTTTCTTTTGGGAAGCCACTGACTTAATGCATAGCTATTCTATTTAAAAAACATTTAGTATACTGTAAACATGCTTTTATTTTTTTTTAATTTTAATTTTTTTTTTAAAGATTTTATTTATTTATTTGACAGAGAGAGACACAGAGAGAGAGGGAACACAAGCAGGGGGAGTGGGAGAGGGAGAAGCAGGCTTCCCTGCAGAGCAGGGAGCCCGATGAGGGACTCGATCCCAGGACCCTGGGATCATGACCTGAGCCGAAGGCAGACGCTTAACCGACTGAGCCACCCAGGCGCCCCGTAAACATGCTTTTAAATAAATACAAACATCATGGACCCAAATTCTCAGAAGTCCATCATGAAATATGTTGCTCTTTATGTCCAAAACGTTTAATCTGAAATTCCAAAAGAAAGTAATACAACAATGCTCAACCTCATTTTTAATGATGGAAATGCAATTGGAATAATAAAATTTTTACTATATTAAAAACATGAAAAGATTATTAGTATTTTGTGTTTACAAGAGTATGGGGAAATAAATAGGTGTGGCTATGGGAAGGTGAACTGGTAGAACAGTATGGAAGGCAATTTGGCAGTATTATCAAACCAATAACACATTTATCCTTTGACCCAGCAGTTTTAGGAATTTATCCCACAGGTACACTGATATATTCACACAGATACGTACAAAAATGTTCCTAGTAGGACTTATTGTCACATAAAAATTAGAAAACTAAATATTCATAAGAGTGATTACGTAAATTTTACATCAGTTCTATAATACAGTTAAAAAGAATGCTAGATTCACATACACTGATAAAGCAAGCTAGGTATGATATAAGGTGTGGTAGGTAAAATAAGAGCCCTCCAGAGATGTCCATGTCCTATCCCTGAAATCTGTCTATATGTTACCTTACAAAGCAAAAGGGACTTTGCAGAGACAATTAAAGATCTTAAGATGGGGGTTATTCAAGTGGGCCCACTGATTTCACAAGGGTCCTTTTAAGAGAGAAGTGTCAAAGATACCTGAAGATGCTAAGCTTCAAGATGCTTTGAAGACTGAGGAGGGGGCCATGAGCCAAGGATTGGAGGAGACTCTAAAAAGCTGGGAAAAAAAGCAATAAAATCGATTTTCCCTAAGTGTCCTGAAGAAACACAACCCTGCTTGATTTTAGCCCAGAGAGATTTCTGACCTCCAAAACTCTGTATTTGTGTTGTTTTAAGTCACTAAGTTTGTGGTAATTTATTACACAGCAATAGAAAACCAGTACATACTGTTAAATTTAAAAAGCAAGCAGAATATCAGTAAAATACAGCATAATCCTATGTATACTATGATTCCATTTATGCAAAAAATACTTCTGTATCTTTCTAAATGAATTTTTAAAAAACTTGCTTGAAAAGATACAAGCTTGACTGCTAACAGTTTACCTCTGGAGAATGAATAGGGTTGGGAATTGGAGATAAAGGATGCTTCGCTTCGGCAGCACATACACTAAAATTGGGAATTGGAGATAAAGGAATATTCCTGTTTGTTTAATCTCCATCTTTTTTGGGAAAATTTCAAACTTACAGAGAAGTTGAAAGGATATAAACAACCTTATAAACATCATCTATATTCACAAACTAATTTTTTGGCCACATGTGCTTTATCTGTGTTGCATGTATATACATGCACTTTTTCTGCATCACTTGGCAATAAGTTGAGATTATCATTACTTTTAAGTAAACTGGTATTTATTTTTAAATGGATATGCATTTCTTTTGGAGTTAAAAAAAAAAAAGATAACCACAAATAGCTCCTAGCTTTTGAAGGAAATCTTATTTCCATCCTATCCTTTTGGACACAAAGGGAGATACAGAAATCTGTCTTCTTTTCTGAAGACTTAGTTAACAAGTTACCAACAGCCAGAGTTTAATATCTGATTCTTTGCTATGTTCCATATATTCTCTCAACTCATTCTACTGAATGAAGATCTGTTTTGGGTGACTCTAGTTGGAACTTAAAAGGAAGTCAACTCATAAAACTGTTTTAAGTGTAGATACTACATATACTCCAAGAATTCCATGGGTAAAATTAGGTTGGCTTTAGGCTGACTTGGGCCCACAGTACTTATAATATTGTTTCTTTGGGGTGTTAAAAGGAAACCCACAGGCCCAAGCCACTTAGGCCAAGTCACCAAACTGGGCTTAATACTTAACACCTAACCATAAATTCCAACCTCCCCACAAAATGTAGTCTTAACTAGTGAGTCTGAAACTTTCTGATCAGCACCCTATGAGGTAATCTGTCATATGGGCCCTCTCTATCCCCACAAAGGAAGATGAGGTGATTCACCTAACAGAACACCGCCCCCCCTCCTTCTCCCAAGGGAAAGTGACCGGGCCCTGGAACAATCCTTCCTTCTCTTTTGCTAATAACTTCCTTGCCCTACCCTCCTTCTATAAAATCCTTCCATTCTGTATAACTCCTTGGAGTTCCCCCCAACTTGCTAGGTGGGATGCTACCCGATTCAACAAATCGCTTAATAAAGCCAATTAGATTTTTTTTTTTTAAAAAAGCTTTTATTTGACAGAAAGAGACACAGTGAGAGAGGGAACACAAGCAGGGGGTGACGGAGAAGCAGGCTTCCCGCTGAGCAGGGAGCCAGGACCCTGGGATTATGACCTGAGCCAAAGGCAGATGCTTAACAATTGAGCCACCCAGGCGTCCCAAGCCAATTAGATCTTCACATTTACTCAGTTGAATTTTTGTTTCTTAACAGGTAGAATGTGTTCAAAATTTCAAACAGCTAACTTTTGGGGCACAACTTTTTCATAAATTGTACACTGCCTGTATTGTGTTGTCAGCTCTCTAGAATTCTTCTGCTGGTGCTACTTGCTACCACTAAATTCTTGCATTTGGAAACTGCTGAAGATGCTAATCAAGTTCAAAACAGTTCACAAACTCCATTCTGTATCTACACATAGACAACAATTTTCATGGTGATTTAGTATTGTTTCATTATTTAATCAATCCTCTATTGTTGAACATTTTTTTCAAGGTTTTTTTTTTTCTCCTTACATCTTTATAAATTGTTTAGTACTATTCATGTATGGCATAATAAAAAATATATACTGGGTCCTGTCCTTGGTTTTGGGCCTACAACTCCTAAAACCCTGGAATTTCCTGAGTGCAAAAGGGAGCACCTTTTGTTATTTACAAGACAATTTCCACTGTATCTGGGTTTATCTAACGAGGGGACTTGGTAGTGGTGGGTCTACTAAATAGCTTTAGGATGGGGCCTGGTCA